CAAAACTAACAGATGCATCCATTCTTAGCTGCTAGTGGATTCCCTGCAGAGTGATTCAAAGAAGACAGCAGATCAGGGGACTTTTGCCCCACTAATAACATTACTGTGGGACCATGACCTGCAGCAGCTGAGCGTTTAGTAGTGCTAAAATCTCTTTCAGAGCACTGGCCACCTGAGACACAGAGAATGTGGCTTCTGCTTCACCTTCATCCCTCACCATGCAGTTCCTTTTGCCATGCCTTGATACCTTTCACTTTCCTGTCCCCCAACTTCCACCACCCACTGTCAAAATTTAGATAATCTGCTCATTAAATCAGGGTGTGAATCACCTCAGTTGCGTCTATGAAATTAGCATTGTGCCAAACATTTCTCCTGCATCTGTTTCATGATGACTGTCCATTGGTTAATGAGGAAAAAAATCTGTTTTAAAAATATCCACATGGAGATAAAAGGTCAATGAAATTCTCTTGAGTAGGATGCAGGGTTCTGCCCCCGCCTTATGTGTGCCTTCGAGGTGACCAATAAATGTTTGTAAATGTTTTTTCTTTCATTCTGCAAATCTTCTCTTTCATGGCCTGCACTCTGCAGCCTTTCTGGGTGATCACCTTTCCTACAAACCCCATGACATCCTCATAGGAAGTACAGTAAGGTTAACAGGTTGCCTGTGGTGCTCCTGATGGCTGTGCATTGTCACTTTGCTAAGCCTTCTTGCTCTTAAAGAAATCAGTGTTATAAGGTAAGTGGAAAGACTTCTATTAGAAACAATTCAGGAGGAGCACCTATCTCAGGCCTTTGGAGCCAACCTCCTTGCTACCCATGTAAAGCTCAGGGAAAGACATTGTGCTGTTATGGAGCTTTTGGAGGGATTAGGAAGTCCAGGCAACCAGGGAATCTGGAGAAAAATTTAATGGAAAGATAAGCTCATGTGACCACCTTGCACCTCATCTCACAAGGAGAGTATGGTGCAAAGGTCAGAGAGTTGGACCTAGGAGACCAGGGCTGTCTCCAACTAACTTGTTCCATCAGTGCAAGGGTTGGGATTTTTGACTACGTGCTATCTGATGCAGCTTCCCACAAAAGCAATTAAGGAGTTGGCCAAAGGCCAAGAAGACTGAGCAGAGGGAATTATTCTGCCTAGAGATACGGGACCTTGGATACAACTCTGCTATTGGTCGAGGTCTCCACATAGGCATGATGACTCATGACCTTCCTTGTTGGTTAGTTGGTTGGTCAGTGTGAGTTCTAAGAGTCATTTGAAGTTTGTTCAGTGAGAGAGTTAAGATCCGTCTGTATCCTGTATATAGTAACTTGTAGAGTCTGCTGTAAATAATAAACCTCTAAGTAATCAAGTTACTGGTAGCAGCGTCTTGTTCCTGCTTCATCCTACCTGCCTGCAACTGATTGCTTCTGGAAGTCTGCGTATGCTCTGCTATATTCAACTGGGTCTGGCTAAGATCTTGCAACAGGTTAAGGTTGCAAAACATCAATAAATGCTTGCACAACAGAACTCCCCCATGTCCTCCTGCTACACACCCAAATCTGTTGTGAGGATTCCCTCAATTATCCAGAGCAGATTTGGGGAGGGGTGCACATCGGGAGAGAAGAAGAGGAGGGAGTTCCATTGCATAAGCATAAATCCAAATTAGTTGGACACCAAACCAAGGTTCAATTCCACAGGAAGTCATAAAGCTCATTGGTTGATTTTGGGTGTCTCATAGTCTCTCCGCCTAACTTATATCAGAGGGATGTTGTGAGGTTAGAATGGGGAGGAAAATAACCATGTACACCCCCTTGAGCTCCTTGAAGGAAATGATATAAGTGTAAAGATAAGGAATAAAGTAAGAACAATCCCACCCCCACCGAAATTCTAAGGTACCCTGAGAATGCAGGAGGAAAAAATAGAAGCTTCTTTCACAGGGGAAGAAATATTTTGAGAAACAGGAGGATAAGTTTGATCACAGTGTACAAATAGCAACAAAAACAACTTTTCAGAATATATCTGTAGATGGGCAGATGCTTTGTTCCAAATGTATTGTTATTTCTTCACAACTTTGTCCCTGAAATACTTCCAGCCAGTGGTCCTTCTGTTAAAGACTGCAGCTGGCAAAATAAATGTTATAATGATTCATAGAATTGCAGAACTGCAAGGGACCACGAGGGTCATCCAGTCCAATGCCCTGCAATGCAGGAATCATCTGCCCAATGTGAGACTCAGACCCACAACCCTGAGATTAAGAAACTCATGTTCTATCAACTGTTAATCTAGAGCCAACGTCTCATGCCATCCCTACTGCTCTGCAGGAGCAGACTTCCATGCTGGGAAATTCCCTGAAATGCAGTCCAATTCTACATGCAAACATCACCCAAAATCAAAAGGTTTGGCAGATACCATCTCATGCAAGTCTCCATCAGAGCCATAGTAGCAAAGCAAGTGGCTTTCTCAATGAGTCAAATCATTGATCCATCAAGCTCTGCATTGTCTACACTGGCTGACAGCAGGCAAGAGTCTTTCCAGATTGAACCTGGACCTTCTGGGTATAAAGTAGATGCCCTACTACTAAGCTGCAGCCCTCCTTCAGAAGGCTGTACACCTGTGTACCCCCCCCCAAATGAGAAAGTTCCCATGTGAAGTTTCGCGTGGATTAGAATTTCAAGGTGATGATCATTGACCAGAGTTAGAAAAAAGAAGCATGCATATCAAGTCAGAGAAACTGGCATGCCGTAAGCACATCAGTCCAATGAACCAGGATATGTGGTTGAAAATGTATTATCTCCTGTTGTGGTTTCTGTTTGGCCCTTGCGGTTTACAGGGCTGCTATCACTAAACGTTGACCATTATTACATACCCTCCAACAGGTTCAGTCCCAAAATTGGGAAGCCTGTCTTCCAATCCGTGATCCTGCATGAGTCACATGACCCACGTAAGATCACTTCGTGGACTACTGCAAAGTGCTCTATGAGAGGCTACCTTTGAAGGTGACTCGGAAACTGCAATTAATCCAGAATGTGGCAGCTAGACTGGTGACTGGGAGTGGCCACCGAGACCATATAACACTGGTCCTGAGAGACCTGCATTGGCTCCCAGTACATTTCCAAGCACAATTCAAAGTGTTGGTGCTGATCTTTAAGGCTCCAAATGGCCTCGGCCCAGTATACCTGAAGGAGCGTCTCCACCCCCAGACACTGAGATCCAGCGCCGAGGGCCTTCTGCCAGTTCCCTCGCTGCAAGAAGTGAGGTTACAGGGAACCAGGCAGAGGGCCTTCTTGGTAGTGGTACCTGCCCTGTAGAATGCCCTCCCATCAGATGTCAAGGAAATAAGCAACTATCTTACTTTTAAAAGACATCTGAAGGCAGCCCTGTTTAGGGAAGTTTTTAATGTTTAATGCTGTATTGTGTTTTTAACATTCGGTTGGGAGCCACCCAGAGCAGCTGGGAAAATCCAGCCAGATGGGCGGGGTATAAATAATAAATTATCATCATCAACATCATCATCATCATCTTCACAGAGCCCAAAAGACGGACTTGGAGACTTCTTATGTGGCAAGCACCTAATAAATTGAAATAAGATAATAAAATCAATAACATTAAATTAATCTTCCATCCTTGTCCCTTTCTGCCCCGGGAGTTGTTGTTGGGTCAACCTCATGCCACTTTCTCCTGTGTAAAGCAGGACCAGGAGGAATGCTTTGTTTGTGATGACAACTCAAGCCTGGAGCTAGTTGCCTGCAGACCTTGCACTTGTGGAATGGGATTTTCCTTCTTCTCACTTCCTTCTGCAACCTCCAATAGTGCTGGAAATCTTCTCCATGGGCTTGGGGACCATAGGAAATGATGGGTTGCAACTGGAGAGCGAATTACCCACTGCACGAGCAACAATATCTTGGACTTATGCTAGGGCACTGTTGGATCTAGAGGCAGAAGAAGCTGTGGTTTGTGATTCTCTCACTCAAGCATTTTTTTTCATTGCAGTTTGAAAAAGAAGTCTGCTTCAAAATTCACATGCATTTCTGTGCAGATTTCTCCTAACTAGGGAAGGGGTAGGAATTTGATTTGGTTTGCATTTAAAAGCAAATATTTTGCATCTTCCCAAACCAATATGAAAACAGCCTCCCTTCTAAAATTCACACTTAAAACAAATTTTGTGATGCAGTTCTCCAGCCAACCAACGCTTAGCTTATGAAAAAGCACATAACAGAGGCAAGTGTGCACTAAAATGAATGGGATAACAAAAATAGCATGCATTAAACTGGGGAAACCTGCTTGCCAAAATATGTACATTAGTCGAGACTGTATACAAATAAAGATAACATGTTTATTAGGAGAAATTTTCAGCTGAATCCTGATGAGTTTTCATGAGGATTTAAAACGGGGGGGGGGGGGGACCCATACAGTTCTGCAGAAATCTGGAGAACTAAATTTAATATGGGGAACATGAGAAACTAAGAGAACCAAACTGGCATTTCCTTCCACCTCTACTGCCAATATATGTATTTCCGCATGCGATTTTGCCCAACATTTCCCTCTAACAGAATGCAGTTGAGAATGTTATTTTCCCTAATATCCTCAGAGAGCTGCATTTCAGTTCATATGCTGGTTTGGGATGTGCATTTGGAAAATTCACATTTAAAATGCATAAAATGAATGGATTTCTCCTCCATCTCAGCCAGAGTTTCGCACCCTTTCCCCCAAGGAATTGTGATTGCTAACTGCACAGTGTATGCAAACACTGGTGAGCAGCAACGTTGCAAGACAACAGAGATTTTGGAAGTGTGATATGCTTTATGCATTCCGTGCTCCAAATCCAAACACACACACCCAGCATCCTGCCCACCATGGGTCATAAAAGGAAACACGCATGTGAAACCTGAGAAGGAGTGAAGCCACTTCTCCTGCAATTGCTTTTCATTTTTTAAAAAATGACATGCACAGGTGCATTGCAAATTGCCTTATACTGAGCCAAATCACTGGTCCATCTAGCTCAATATCATCTACATCTCCAGAAAATAGGTCAGCCAGTAGAGCATGAGATTCATAATCTCAGGGTCATGGGTTTGAGTCGCACGTTGAGCAAAAGATTCTTGCATTGCAGGGGGTTGGACTGGATGATGCTTGTGGTCTCTTCCAGCTCCATGGTTGTATGAAACTAGATTCTCTCCCAGCCCTTTCTTGGGATGTTGGGAACTGAACCTGCGACCTCCTGCATGCAAAGCAGATACTCTAACACTGTGACCCTTCCCTGAAGATCAAGCTTCGTTACCTATGAAGGCGCAGCGACATGCATTTGCAAACAACACAAAACCAGCCCCTAAAAACCCCATCTCCTTCTCTGAAGCATAAAAGATGTACCTAACTTTCAGCTCCCTTGTCCTCAGATGTGCTTACCAGGCGGCCGGGTTGCTCAAGTTTAGCTCGTTGCTTTATCATTCCAGATCGTGGGCCTTCTTGCATCTTGCTCTGTGACGGCTTCTGCTGAAGCTCTTCTTGCAAAGTGTGCTTAGATCAGAGTGCTAAGCAAATGGGATCAGCAAGGACTTAAAGATGGTTTAGAGCTACGTAACGGAGGGGGATTGGGGTCAACTTTTATAGAGGCACTTAGGGAAATTGGCCCAGCATGGGTTCTGAAAGTCAAAATGACATGGCAAAAGGGACATCTTTTTATTCCTTTAAATAAAAGGGGTCGCACCTATTCCTTTCCTGCTCAACCCGTTATAATAAATACAGATATTACAGAAAAATACATCATTAGTATCCAGTTTCTTATTTCTTCCCCAGAAAGTTAATGCTGTATTATTTTTTATTATTTTTATTTTATTTATAACCCACCTATCTGTCTGGGTCACCCCAGCCACTCTGGGTGGCTTCCAGTTCTAAAGTCTCCTTATCCAGTTTAAACCTTCTGATGAACATGTCGTAGGAAACAAAACAAATCCCATCAACCGAAATGACAGCTTTTGTCACCAGCGCTTCCGATACCAGATTTTGTTGTCCTGTGCCAATCGGTTTGACAGCCAAGACAGAAAACTAACAGCAGAACCAGGTGGGGTCACCCACACACTATCCCTCTAAGCCAGGGGTAGGCAACCTAAGACCCTAATGCCCCTTCTTAATCTGGCCCGCAGATAGTCCGAGAATCAGTGTGTTTTTACATGAGTAGAATGTGTCCTTTTATTTAAAATGCATCTCTTGGTTATTTGTGGGGCCTGCCTGGTGTTTTTACATGAGTACAATGTGTGTTTTTATTTAAAATGCATCTCTGGGTTATATGTGGGGCATAGGATTTCGTTCATTCTCCCCCCCCCAAAAAAAATATATAGTCTGCCCCCCCCACATGGTCTGAGGGACAGTGAACCGGCCCACGGCTGAAAAAGGTTGCTGACCCCTGCTCTAACCTAAATCCACTCCCTGGGCTCTCCACATCCTCATTATTTAAAAATACACCTCTATTTACATGTTATTAAGTTCAATGCATGTGGAACCACAGAACAGCCAATTCCTGGGATTAGCAGACTAGCAATAAAGAGGAAAGAAGTGGGGGGAATTAAACAGAGTGCTAATAGCAGGGATTAATGCATCTCATTGAAAGGGCTTATTTTTTAACATGGGAAATAATGTGATGCCCTGTAGATATACTTATCAGAGGCACAAAGCCCATCTTTGTGCGGCAGGAAGACTTATATTGCTTAATAATAAGAACGCCTTCATTTCAGCTGAATCAAGGCACTCATTAGTTAGTGGCAGAATTTGCCTAGATGTTCCTAGGACCGAGGTTTCATCGGATGTGTTTAGCCTGGCCCAGTGGGGGCTTTGCAATGTCATGGCGAGGGGGAAAGCATTGCCAGCTTCTCTGAGACAGCACAGGCAAGACGTACGCATTGTGGCTCTCTCAGAAGCACACAGAAGATGCCAGACACACTTCTCAAAGTTGCAGAGCATATGCTTTTCCATATGGAAGGAACCATGGTCAATCCCTGGTGCCTCCAGATAGGGTTAGGAGGAACCCCTGCCTGGAATCCTGGAGAGTTGCTGCCAGTCCTTATAGAGAGCATTGAGTTTGTTCCATCTAACTCAATGCTCTCTATACTGACTGGCAACAGCTGTCCAGGATTTCACTTAGCTGCGTAAAAGGCAACAGAGACCTGGATTCTCTGGGCAGATCCTCAGTATACACTTACAGCACATTCAATGCACATCTAGGGAGTTTGTGGGATTTTGTAGTAGTATTTTGTATATTGCAGATACCATCCCTCTATCGTGTCCCTTTGTTGTTAGAAGGAGGTTTTCGAAGGTTGTCAGAGGCCTAGTTGCTGTTGATTTTACTGCTGGATTGTTTAAGAGGGCATATAATTGGTGATGTGTTAACCAGGGCATTTGGGTGTCTTCAAGTTTGTCTCGTATTTCTTGTGTTGACAAGGGTTTGTTGTTTTTGTAGAAGTCTGTTAGGCAAAATTAACCAATAAACTGAAACCGACATGGGGACAAATACCTGTAGAAGAAGACACCTTCACCCTGGTATGGCTCCCCTTTATCGCATACACAGCCCAACAAGACAATGACAAAAATCCACCAACAACATACAAATCAATATGGCTAACCTGATCCAAAACACCCACCCACCCTACTCACACACAAAAACTAAGACCACCACAGCCAACCACAAATGAATAACCACACCCTAGGTCAACCCCAACCTCTCTCACCACCAAAGGAACACAAGTGAACAGCAAAGAACTTGCACAAGCAACGCTGACACCAAACCATACATATAGTAAGTAAAATAGAAACATCGCCACCAGACCCCACCCATCTTTACCCCCTCCACCTCTTTCCCCCTTTTCTTCCTAATGTCTCAATAAAATGTTACATGGGGGAAAAAATATGAGAGAGAGACATTGCACACACTTTTGTAAATCAACAAAAATTTTAATAAAAAACAAAACAAAACATTCAATGCACATAGGTCAAACACAGATCTCATTCTAGGTCTCTCCTTTCCATATCCATCACACCAAACTAGGGTTCTGTGGGATCCTCTGTAGGGGATTCCCCTTTCTGCATTCCCCTTTCAGTTGACACCACCTTGTCTTCACAGAAGTGAAAGACTCAAACAGTTGGCAGAAAAATGGGGACGAAATTGATCAAGAGCACATTTTCACTCTGGTCAAAGGGCTTGTCCTGCATGGTGCTATTGGATGAAGAATCACAAATAGAAAGTCCTCCAGCTTGACAGGTGACCCCCTTCCCCTTTAAGCAACCAATTGCTTCAGATCACTGGACCAAGACAAGCACCATGGATCAGCTACTTCTTAAATTACAAACTAGAACGTTCATTTCCTGTTCCAGTGATTTTACAACAGGAGCTGGAAGACTGATAAATGGCCCTGTCAAAGTTGAGCAATTACGGGGCAATTACGATCCACTTTGATGCCAAAATATGAAGTTCACACCTCAGTCCTAAACACATTTGTTGGTAGGTAGTGTCAGTAGGACACATTGCTTCTGAACATAGAATTGAGTGTTGGACATCAGCAGAAAGCAAGCATAATATGTTACCCTCCCTTTCTCAAACACCATACTTGACCTGGTGACTCAAGGGTCCTCAATGAGGCACTATAAATCATTATTGCAAGAGCTAGCCATACAAAGCGACACCATTTCAGTGAGGAGGAGGAAGAGAGTTTGGACTTGATGTTCCACTTTGAGACCCTTAAGGAGTCTCAAAGTGGCTAACAATCTCCTTTCCCTTCCTCTCCCACAACAAACACTCTGTGAGGTGAGTGAGACTGAGAGACTTCAGAGAAGTATGACTAGCCCAAGATTACCCAGCAGCTGCATGTGGAGGAGCGGGGAAGCGAATCTGGTTCACCAGATTACAAGTCCACCACTCTTAACCACTATACCATGCTATTTCCTATATTCCCTATATTCCTATATTTCATGGACTGAAATAAACATGAATTTGGAACACCCCAATCCCTGCACCACGGGTGCCAACTTGTATAAAATATTGTGGGGGCCCAGGTAAGCCCCATCCCACATAATTCATCACATGATGCAGTGCACACGCACTATTTGAATGGGAATGCCCATCAACTTGGTGGGGGCCTGACCCCCTCAAATATTTTATTGTGGGGACCAAAGCCCCCATGGCCCCTAAGAATTGGCTCCTATGCCCTGCACAATTCCTTTATAATCGCTGCAGATTATATTAAGGAGAAGGAGCACCCAAGGTCATCATCATGCTTCCAACCCAGATGGGATGGGAACTGCAGCAATATCTGTTTGTTTTGAAGCAAATTCTTTCAACGATTTCTATACCGCTCCTGCCAAATCCTGGGTGATTAGGCAGGGGCATGAGGAAGCAGGAAGTGTTTCGGGTTTATTGGATTCAAATTGTTAAGGGTCTTGTGAATTAAATCAATAATGTTGAACTTGCTGCCCAAATGCTGTCCTTGGCTACTCCTGAGGGTGCTGCTTTTTGTGGGCAAGGAAAGTTCACAAAGTTTTCTCCTAGCCTGATACTGTATACAACATCAAATCACATTGAATATAACTGATCTGTAGAAAGGGCTTTATGACCTGAAAATGGAGACAATGTTTGTACTTTTGCAACCCTAGAAAATCTTTAATAAAAACCAAGTTTCATGGTCATGTCGATTTGTTTTCCTGAATTAAACATATACAGTTGAAGGTTAGAGTAAGCGGAATGAGCATAATGTTCAAATCATTGGACCTTCCCACAAAATATTTAAACTCTTTTTTATAGCTTCTGTATAGCTTTCTACAAAATCATCTACAATCCTTACGTAACTGTTACATAACAAAGCAATTGGAAGTCTTAAATGAGCTTTGGTTCATCCACTCAGAATGTTGCCTAACTGGTTTTCATTCATTCTTAATCCCTGTGTGTCCTTGACCAAGCCTCGCAGGCCAAAACCTTTGAGCTTCAGCACTTACACTTACAAGGGTCAAGGTTTCCAAGAACAGATATCCCAAATTAGGCTTCTAAATCCCACATTTAAGCTTCTGTAACTGACTTCACTTTCATTGCTTACTGACTGGCCCTTTGAAACAGTTGTTGATATAAATGTAGGACTATGACATCTAACTTTAGACAATCTAATTTTAGGTCATCTCAGCTTGCTGTTGCTAAATATAAATGAACTGTATTTCATAAGGCTTGTGCTACCTATTGATTAAGGGAGAAGTCTCATATCCAAGTCCCTGTTTGAATTAAGAGATAAAGCACAGACCCTCCAGGATCCTATTTTCAAGGGCCAGCCCGGGACTTACAGAAGGTGTCCCAGTTTCTGATTTGATCCCGGAATGTCTCACTTTTCCTTACGGCGCCACAATTTTCATTGGAGAAATGTTGGAGAGTGCGGTAGGATGTCCCTATTTTCATCAGAGAAATGCTGAAGAACGTGGAATTATCTGAATCCTGAGCTATCTAAAAGCAGACCTGTATAGGGAAGTTTTTAATGTTTAATATTTTATTATGTTTTTATATATGTTGGAAGCCGCTCAGGGTGGCTGGGGCAACCCAGTCATATTGGTGGGGTATAAATAGTAAAATTGTTGTTGTTGTTGTTGAATAGGGTGTCCCTATTTTCATTGTAGAGTATGAAAATGAGGTATTTACATAACAGACAAACGAGCATATAAACAGATCAAGTTTAAGAAAATTAATGTGGCATGACCACACTTGCAATATTGTGCAGAGTTCCGGTCACCTCACCTGAAAAAAAGATGATATTGTAGAGCTAGAAAATGTGCAGAAAAGGAGACCCAAAGAGGGTGGAATAACAACAACAACAACAACAACAACAACAACAACAACAACAATTTATTATTTGTACCCTGCCCATCTGGCTGGGTTTCCCCAGCCACTCTGGGCAGCTTCCAACAAAGACAAAAAAAAACAAAACACAAAAATGTCACACATTAAAAACTTCCCTGAACAGGGCTGCCTTCAGATGTCTTCTGAATGTCAGGTACAGTGGTGCCCCGCAAGACGAATGCCTCGCAAGACGGAAAAACCGCTAGACGAAAGGGTTTTCCGTTTTCAATGCGCTTCGCAGGACGAATTCCCCTATGGGCTTGCTTCGCAAGACGAAAATGTCTTGCGAGTCTTGAGATTTTTTTTCCGCTTTCCCCCCCCTTTATCTAATCTGCTAAGCCTTTAATAGCCTTTAATAGCCTTTTAGCAGCTAATCCCCTAAGCCTTTAAGCCTTTAATAGCCGCTAAACCGCTAATAGCGCTAATAGCGCTAATCCGTCAATGGGCTTGCTTCGCAAGACGAAAAAACCGCTAGACGAAGACTCTCGTGGAACGGATTAATTTCGTCTTGCGAGGCACCACTGTAGTTGTTTATCTCTTTGACATCTGATGGGAGGGCATTCCACAGGGTGGGCGCCACTACCGAGAAGGCCCTCTGCCTGGTACCCTGTAGCTTTGCTTCTCACAATGAGGGAACTGCCAGAAGGCCCTCGGCATTGGACCTCAGCGTCCGGGCAGAATGATGGGGGTGGAGACGCTCCTTCAGGTATACTGGGCCGAGGCCATTTAGGGCTTTAAAGGTCAACACCAACACTTTGAATTGTGCTCAGAAACGTACTGGGAGCCAATGTAGGTCTTTCAAGACCGGTGTTATGTGGTCTCGGCGGCCACCCCCAGTCACCAGTCTAGCTGCTGCATTCTGGATTAGTTGTAGTTTCTGGGTCACCTTCAAAGGTAGCCCCACATAGAGTGCATTGCAGTAGTCCAAGCGGGAGATAACCAGAGCATGCACCACTCTGGTGAGACAGCTTTGAATGGCGTAGAAAGAGTGGAGGGAAAGGTTTTTCTTCCTCTCCAGTAATATGAGAACTCAGGGCCAGACAATGAAGCTGAATGATGGAAAGGGTGGGGGGGAGCTAGTATTTCTTCACATAGTGCATAGCTGAACTACGAAATTTGCTCCCATGAGAGGAGTGATGGCAGCCAACTTGGATGGGTTTAAAAGAGGATTAGTCAAATTTCATGGAGAAGAAGGTTATGAAAGTCCACTAGCCATGATGGTTCTGTTCTGTATCCATTACTGGAGGTAGTATACTTCTAAATATTGTACAGTGGAAACAGTAGGGGGGGAGAGTCCTCTTTCGCTCAGATCCTTCTTGTTGGTTTCTCACAGGCATCTGGTTGACCACTGTGAGAATCGGATGCTAGATTAGATGGGCCATTGGCCTGATTCAGCAGACACTTCTTATGTAGTCATCCTCCAAATTCTTTGCAAACAGGTCACAGCAAGCTGCCACTCCATTAATTTCAATGAATCTGTTCAGAATATAACTTACTTGGATGCAACGTAATGATTCTTCAGGCTAATGTTTACTGTTTCATTTTTTAAAAAATATAGGAAAATGGAAGTATTAATACTTTGAATTGGATGAAGGGTGAATGAGTGGGCAAGGACTAGATTATGATTAAATAAGCAAATGGGGAAAATTGGCTGATAACTGATCTTATGCTGATGTTTCCTACAACAGTTGTAATATGGGGAGCTGCCCAGAGTCCCACTAATATTGTTTTCATGTCAGCTTCACTACAACATTCATGTACAAAAGTACATTATTATTTGTAAGTTCAAATTCGCATGTGTGCACACACTCACACAATGACCTGGAAACTGTTGTCTGATTTTCATAGCAATACTGCTGAAGCAGGCATATGGATAATATCAAATCAGCCCCATTATCTCATTAGTAAAGGACTCATTAACATGAATGGTCTGTTTAACCAACATTTGCATGCCATATATTGCTGTGCAGATTGCAATTAACATCTGCCAGAGTTGTATATGAGTTGCAGCACCCGATGTAGCCTGCCATTTCCTGTATTGAGCAACCCTGCAGCAGCAAAAACAAATAAACAATCTCCTACCTGACTAATGCACTAACATTTTCTTTATTTGCTCACACTCAAAGAGGTCTCAACAGTACAGCGATTACGCTCATGAGGTGTCGATATTGCAAGGGAGCAGAGCTGTGACTCCCACTTACCATTCATTCACATAAACGGAGCAAATCTCAGAACAGCTTGTTAGGATCCAACAATTTGTAGGCATGCCACCTCTCATAGTGACCTGCCCTGATCTTCAGGAATGGCCTTCTCCAAATCCCATGTCCATCAGAGGCACCTCTGCAAGGAGGTATGTCTGGTGCCAATATTGCCTTTCGGGCACCTGGCGAAGATTGCAAGCTTTTAAAATATTTAAACGTTCTAAATATTTAAACTCTCCAAATAGCATCTGGGTCTTAATTTACTGCTTGTTTTGTTGGGTTGTTTCTTGATATTTTTTTAGCTGCTAATCTATCCACCCCTTCTCTTCCCGCTCGCTGCAGACTACCTGGAGATCATTGTGAGAAAGAAAGTATATAAATCTCTAACACAGATTAGCAAACAAGCAGCTGAAAATAAATGGCTCGCTGTCTCAGGGATTCAGCCTGGAACTTACGAGGTAGTGTTGTTCCAGAGGGGCCAACAGGGCCAGCTAAGTCCTACTCAGAGCAGACTTCATAAAATTAATGAGTCTAAATTACAGTGGTACCTCTAGTTGCGGACTTAATCCGTTTTGGGGTGTCGTTCGCACCCCGAAAAGTCCGCAACTAGAGTGCCTCTTCCACACATGTGCGCGGCACGATCAAGCACTTCTGCATGTGAGCGAATCGTGCAGATCACTTCTGCACATGCACGGGTGGCGAACCCGGAAGTAAACACTTCTGGGTTTTCCGGGTTCATAAGCTGAAAGTCCATAAGAAGAGCAGAATGCAGCACAAGGTATGGCTGTAATCATGTCCATTCATTTTGATGAGTCTGCCTTGAGTATGACCAACATTGGATTTAGGATGGGGGGAGAAATTTGGTTTGCATTTAAAGGCAAACCTAACTAATTGGCACTTCCCAAAACAAACCACAAACTGCGTTGGTAGAGCATGAGTCTCTTACTCTCAGGATTGTGGGTTCAAGCCCCACATTGGGAAAGGATTCCTGCATGGCAGGGGGTTGAACTGGATGACCCTTGTGGTCCTGCACGACTCTACAAGTCTGTCATTCTTTGAAGGACAGCAGCTCTGAACGTTTCAGTCCAGTTCTCCAGCCAAGTAATGTATGCAAACACATATACTAAGCTAACATGTTTATTGGGTTAATAACGTAAATCTTGGCATACTTGACCTACCTAATGAGGTCTTCAGAAGAGCCAAAATTCAAACTGATCTGATAAATATTGCCATGGATACAGCCATGGGTGCCTGCATGTTGTTGTTGGTTGTTGTTTTGCTTGGAAGGTGGGGGGAGCAAAGTAAACACCAAATAAACAACCAAACAAATTAGCATCAGAGTAAGGCCTAACATATTCTCGAAGCTACCAACATGAGTCTGACCAAACTGCGGGAGGCAGTGGAAGACAGGAGTGCCTGCGTGCTCTGGTCCATGGGGTCATGAAGAGTCGGACACGACTAAACAACAAAAGGACTAACATTTCTGGTAGATCCCATAACTGAGCAGTGACATGGTCTAAGTATTCCAGATCCAGCACTCTGTTGGTTCCCAATATTTTCAGTATAGATAGAATAATAACCACTTTAGTATCACTCAACTCTTCAATAGTCAAAGATTAGCATTGTTAGAGAAATCATTAAGTTTGGTTTCAGGATTGAAATATACTCGGAGTTGAGTGTTGATTTCATGCTCTTTACTTCACCTCATGGTCATCAGTGAGTGAGTGAGTCCCCCCCGCCAAACCTCTGGGTGACAGTTAAGTCCAGTTGCAAATGACTCTGGGGTTGCAGCGCTCATCTCGCTTTACTGGCCGAGGGAGCCGACATTTGTCCACAGACAGTTTTTCCGGGTCATGTGGCCAGCATGACTAAGCCGCTTCTGGCGAACCAGAGCAGCGCATGAAAACTCTGTTTACCTTCCCGCTGGAGGTACTTGCACTTTGATGTGCTTTTGAACTGCTAGGTTGGCAGGAGCTGGGACCGAACAACGGGAGCTCACCCCGTTGTGGGGATTAGAAATCCTCTGGCTATATATACATTATTTACACAATTTGTCTCTCATGATCGGCTGATTCAACTCCCCTCCTGGAGCCTGATTGAGCTGTTCCTGCAGGCCACTCAAGTTGCTGCCTTCTAGGATCCTACCAGCCTATTGTTCTAGGATCCATGCTCATTACATAACAAGGATTAAGGATAATGACATTTGCTCTGGTCAAGAATAAGAGTGGAGGTGACATGGAATGAGAGTGACATTTGATTATTCATGTACTGCTTAGCCACAAAGTTGTACAAAAATGTTCCAATGCATGGAACTGCAGACAGCCCGTAAAGCGAAATAACTGCTGATGATGTAAAATGAATCTAAAGAGTACACAACTATTTTGGAACATGTTGAAATACTGCCTTGAACCTTTCTATAGTATTCCACTATATTTGAGCAAGTAAGTCTCTGTGCTTTCTGTGACAATTACTGTATAAATATTGTGCACATTGCAACATGTCCAGGGGACTCGCTAGTTTTCAGGAGTTGAGAAACATCTGTCAGGTGTACTTCAGAATAAAGAGGAGCTTCAGGCAACTGAATTGAAAAGCAGTTTTCCCGTGGTGCGTGTTCTGCAACAGTATGCCCCCCCTCAATTCTGCAGGAAATTTAGTAAAACTGAATAATGTAGCTTTGGAATAGAAGTAGCTTCAGAATTCAACTTAAAAATCATGGCTTCCATTTAAAAAACAAAAACAAAATCAAAACCCTCTACATTTTAGTTTTTATGGTTGTCAAAATACTCAAAATACTCAGTAAGAGAGCCAGTATGGTGTAGTGGTTAAGAGCGGTAGTCTCGTAATCTGGGGAACCGGATTCACGTCTCCGCTCCTCCACATGCAGCTGCTGGGTGACCTTGGGCCAGTCACACTTCTTTGAAGTCTCTCAGCCCCACTCACCTCACAGAGTGTTTGTTGTTGGGGAGGAAGGGAAAGGAGAATGTTAGCCGCTTTGAGACTCCTGAAGGGGAGTGAAAGGCGGGATATCAAATCCAAACTCTTCTTCTTCTTCTTCTTCTTCATGCAGGTGTCTAGGCAATGCTGAATGAAATAGCAAGAGTCAGGGGAGTTGTTGAATGAGATTCTCTTTGGTCAAAGTGCACTCTCTTGTCATTTTTCATCCCTCTGAAGGGTTTGTAGTGCTTTCCAGGTATTCAAGGAAACTAGTGGTGTGCCATGAAATTTTCCGTAGAGGAACAGTTAGGATCAGAGGTGCCAAGGGCAATGGGAGGGGGATGGTGTCATGTGTGAGACATCGCCTGTATGAGCATCCCTAAGCTGGACAGAAGTTTCCCAGGCTTTGGGAAGGAGGCAGCAGGGAAACATTTAGGGGACTAGCCTACTCACCCATGTCTACTGACTGCACACCACTACTGGACCCCAGCTGCCATCAGCTCTAGCCAGCTGGGCCAATGGCCAGGGATGATGGGAGCTGTGGTCCATCAGCTTCTGAGCGCTTCACAGAAAAGGTGCCTTTTGACCAGGAGGCATGTGAAGGAAGAGAGAAGGGCAGCATCATGGATAAGAGATAAATAAACAACAGTAATAATAATGAATGCAAAGAAGGTCCTAACGTTTTTGAAACCAAACAATGCTGCTCTTCAGAACTGAATGATCACTGCCATAATCTCTTACCAGCATTCAAAGGTGTATTTTCCCCCATCCAGCAGTGAGTCCCAGGCAAGGCATGGTAGAGAATTTCATTTTTTAGGTTCCTAGGGTGGGGCACAAACTCCATATCATCATGAAATTTCCTAGCAAGCCATATAGTGTTCCATTAGCTTTTGGCAGAGTTTTGCTACTCTACCTGATCCAGAAAACTCGTTCCTGTCTTCTATTTTAATTGCACCTAATGGGTCCCGCTGTGGCAGTAGCAGAATTTGGGAGGCTGTGTTCCATCCAGGGAAGAGTGAGACAAGCGCCACTTCCCTTATGGCTGAAACTGTGAAAGAAGACACTGATGGAAATAGTGCAGCCATCTGCAAGAGAGTGTGCTTGCAATGAGGTTGTCCGTAAAGGGATTTGAACTGCTGTTTGCAATTGACTCATTCAGGGGGACTGAGTGAGACCAGGCGAGCCTTCCGTGTGAAAGATCCAGGTGCCTGGGACTGCACTGCTGATTGCAAGCAGCATGTGCTCCATTTAGGGCTGGATGGGACCTGTCCCATCTCCCTTGGGGCTGAAAGTATAGGCAAACTTGCTGCCTGCCACTATGCTGCTGCACCAAGCAAGAAAGCCCTTTTTCAGAGGGGTTATGTCAACTGGAGCTGGGCTAGAGCTCAGCATCCATTCCCGATCAATTATTTATATGATTCAGGTATGTCACTGTTTAGTGAATTCTCTCTTTTTTATCTTCTGTGCTACTGCAGGTTTTGATACAACTGTCTTAGTGGAAATGTTCCTTGTTAAATTTTTAATGTGTTGTTATTGTGAGCTCGATGCTGATATTAAAGCAAAGTAAGGCAAAGCAAGCAGTGTCAGCAGTCCAGCTGTGAGAAGAGAAACCAAAAGGGGGGAGACTGGATCCCTGCCTGCTGTTAAGTTCACTGGCATTCTACCCTGGTGTCCCTTGGGAGTTGAAGTGGGTGGCTGCTACTGAAATTCATAGGGTTTGGGAATCAACACCACAGCCAGTGTGTTACTCCCTCCAAAGTGCTGCTCGGGTGATTAATCCTCCTCCTGAGGCACTGCTGCGACAGATATCTGAAGACATCTGCACACCCTGTCTCAGCAGAGTCAGCAGACAGCAAAAGCAAGGCTTTGAGGTGTGGATACAAAGCTCTATATTTCTTATTTACAGGACAAAGATAAACATGGCTCCTCTCAGCTTCATCATCGGGGGGGGGGGAGCAAAAGTAGTACCATGGAAACAGGGTATCTCAACTTCCGTTCCCATGACATCCAACACTGTGGAATGTAAACACACAGACATGTGATGAAACAATCCCATATCTGCAGCACGGAGGAATGAATTCCCAACATCCTAGAGGGTATTTTGAAGATCATAGTGGGGAGTAGGTGAGAGGGGTGGGCAACCTCCAAAGCAGGATTGACTCAGAAAATAAACCAAGCTATTCCAGACATTTGGGGAATTATCTTGGCTTCTCTCAATTTTGAAAGATGCCTGGAGAGAGCTCAAATGTTACTAGAAAAGTCCTCTTTCTACTTGTAGAAGCTTGTAGGTATTTCCAAGATTTAGTCTGAAAATTGAGTTCTTAGGGTGGATTTTTTCCCATGTTCTATTGGGGTGTGGGAAGAGAGAAAGAATAATAATAAACACCAGGGAGTAACAAAAGCCCATAACCGGCTCATTTGGGCAGATCTGGGCTTCAGCTGAATTGGGTTGAGATAGTCCCGGATCACTTGAGGTCAGGATGGCCCACTGATAATTATCTGGGACTGGCAAGAGACACAGCAATAGTGGCAGGGGAGAAGGATAGGCACAAAGCCTTTGCAAAGAGCTGGATGGAGCTGTTTGCAAGAGGACTTTTAAACAGCCCTGCACAGTGCTTTGCCTATTTGTGCCTGTTCCGATCAAGGGAATATCCATGCACAGCCAAATGAGCAGGACTGAACCCTCCACTCACCAGCATTCCTGTTGGCTGCAGGGAATGCACTGGGGAAGCAATACCCAGCAGGATTTAACTCTGGTCCCCAAGTAAATTCAATGACTAGATCCAGGTTGGGTCAGCCCTGAGTTGGGTGAGGGCCGATCCAAAGTCTTAGAATGGCTGCTGGATTGGGTTGTGGGATGCACAGCACTAAATCAACACCCTACATTACCAGTGTGAGGTATTCATGTCTATTCAGAAGTTAGAGATCTATGGGACCTTGGTAACTGTAATCATAGTCTAGCTTGACTTTTCCAAAGTTAACACTGGAAATTCCGTTGGAGGGAGGGGAGAAATTAGGACTCTTTATCTAAGAAATTATCATGGGCCAAATAGAATTCACAGTGATATTTCCTTTTATTGCTATTATTATTAATTAAAGCATATTTCAATATCAGGGAAGTGAAGTTCACAAGGGAGAAAAAGGACACCCTAATTATTTCTCATGGACTAAAGCGCATCGCTTGACTGAGCTTCCCTGTGTGAGATGGCTTCCGAATGGCCTTTCTACTGTTGAGGGACAAATGAAAGAAGCCACCATTTTGATTGTATTTCTGATCTCTATCTTCCTCCCTTTGGACATTTTTAACTTATTTGTTCTGAAATAAGATCCTAGGTGCCTTCCTCATTTAATAGACTGATTTGAAACCATCAGAAGCTCTGGAACGAATTCATAATGGATATTTCCTAAAAATGCCTTCCTTCTCATTTAAAGAAAGACATCCTTTCAGCCTCCAAAGTGGTACCACGTTGGCAGGGAGTACCAGCAAAATTATGTTGAAAATATCTATTGAATTTATCATGAGTTAGCTAATGCTTTGCCTATTAACTGAAGTGCACAGTGACTAATGAATTGGAGAATGGATATTCAGTCCAGCATTCAACAATAAATTATGTTGAAGAATTCATTAAAAATGTGGGTCAAAGTGTGGGGGGGGGGCTCTTTCCACCCCACCCCCTCTGTGATGGTCACATCCATTTTTCTATGTAGAAATGAGGCAGCTCTGTTTTGATTCAGAGTCACTTTTACAGCTGTCCACTGATAAATCTTTCCATTGCATTTCCATAATTATATGCAATTTATTTTTTTTGAAAGAACACACACATAAATTCTTGTGTGTTTTAAAGTTCATGTCTCTCAGCCTAACCTACCTCACAGGGTTGTTGTGTGGATAAAATGAGGAGAGGGTGAATCATGTACACCACCTTGGGCTCCTTGGAGATTAGGTGGTTATCAACGCAAGAAATGAAATACATTTGAATTTACACCTGCCATCAGTAGAATAGCCGTAACGATGGACCTTATTTTAGATGTCCCTTCTGATGCCCTGTAAACTGGCATCTGAGAAAATGCATGCATCTGTAAAATCAACAAGCGGTTTTTGCTTTCAGAAAAGTCAGGGATTAGTCCAAAAGTTGCTCAAGCCATGGAGGGAGGCAACATCCCCATCTGACCTCCATCCTTCAACATGAATCCAAGTGGACCTCACAGTGTGCCAAAATGGTGCATCACAGCTCGTTCAGTGGCTTGGAATGGACTATCAATGATTCATGGGTGAGAGATCTTTCAATGCCTATTAACTATACCAAAAGGAACTCCAACACTACGTTATACCCCTTATCATGGGACAAACAAGGGAAGGCATCTTCTGATGATGTCTGGCTGACTTAGGTAAGAGAATTCTGGGCTAGATGAATCACTGGCAAGTTATTCTGAACTTCGCATCATGTAGCTCCTAACAGCTCCAGCCAATTTCACCAGAACATCACCATTTACAGGAGGAACTGTTGTTCCTGAAACTGTTTGTAAGACATCGGGTCTGAGATGTGGAGTTCTTGTTTTCTTAAGCGTTTTTGGAATGTTATATGAAAACCAATATAGAGCTGCATATTTTTGAGGAAGGGTTACGCTCCAGCTCTAACTAAAACTTTAATAAGCTTAATTCACAGAGCACTCCAAGGACTCAGCCAAACTGCCAAAGAAAAAGCGATTTTTATGCTTTGTATGTGCAGTATAACATTGTGCTGCCAGATGGCGACATGGAGTCCCGTTTTTATCTACCTGTTTTCCCTGTTTAAATTTACAGTTCTTTAAACTGAAACGTTTCTTTGATCAAGCCCAAATAGGTATCTTTTCATGTCCCAAAGTGCTACAAATTCTGCTTTTTGCAGTATGCCAGGGGATGATGTATTTTCATTTATAGGCACTGTAATCCTTCTTATATTACTTAAGTTGCCTTTCCCGCTTCGTGGATGATTTATGGCAGAGGCATACGCTCCCATTGGCCTCTCTTACAATGATTAAATTGGAATATAATAACCCATCACTCTGAGTATATTGCCTAAATATAAGTTCATGGGAAATTTGAGTCTCCCCCATTCACAATAAGGATGATGGTAATGAAGATAGGGCAATAGCTGCGGTTGATGCTTACATGCACCTGATAAAGGCAGGAGTACCCTTCCCACACAAGCTCAGTAGGCACTCATTTGTCTTCATCTTGGTGGAAGGACTACACCTGGCTTGAAGGAGTGTCCTTATCTCGAAGGAGTGTTCTTACTTTGCAAGCTCCTTCAGTACCAAGGAGTCAGCTCCACCACCAGCAGGCCTTTTCATAGCTCAGCCAGTAGAGCAGAAGGCTGTAAACAGAGATTTGAGGCATCTGTGGGTGCAAAGAGCTCAGAATGGAAGCAGAAGCATCATTTTGACAGGTTCAAGTCAAGGAGCATTGTACCAGATTGGTTGCACCCCCAGTGCTGCTGTTGAGAAGAGGAAGCTGCAAACAGTGGGACGGACTACCTTGGAAAGTGATACACTCTTCTTCATTGGAGGTTATTAAGCAGAGGTTGGATGGCCAGCTGACATGGATGCTTTAGCTAAAATTCCTGCATTTAAGGGGGTTGTAACAGACTCCAACTCCACCGTTCTGTGATTCCATGCCTGTTATAATTTGGCTGGTTTCTTATATAGGGACACCTCTCACAAGTATATTGTGTGGACATCAAGTGAATCCTTTTTTAACTTTAAAAAAAAGAGGTAAAGGACCCCATCTCACTTCAGGCTGAGGGGGCCGGTGTTTGTCTGCAGACAGCTTTCCAGGTCATATGGCCAGCATGACTAAACCTCTTCCGGCGCAATGGGACACCATGACAGAAGCCAGAGTGCACGGAAATGCCGTTTATCTTCCCGCCACAGTGGTACCTATTTATCTACTTGCACTGGCATGCTTTCGAACTGCTAGGTTGGCAGGAGCTGGGAGAGAACAATGGGAGCTCACCCATTGTGGGGATTCGAAATACTTACCTTCCAATCAGCAATCCCCAGAGGCTCCGTGGTTTAGACCACAGCTCCTCACATTCCCTTTTTTTACCTACCCAAAGCCTGTAAAACAGAACTCAAAACAAGGATTTGTATTTGGATCAGAGCTGAATCAGGCAGTCTACAAAGTGCTTTAAACCAAATCAGACTATTTCCAAAGCACAAAACTGAGGTCTGAATTGAAACTTGTAGTTGGGGCACACCCTTAATTTATGTTCCTAGTTCAAGTAGACCGGAATGATTCAAGAAGTTGGATAATCATTCATGTAGTTCATGATCTCCCTCATAGCCATTTGTTTACTTGCTCTTGATTACTCTGGAACTTCTCAGTTACTCCTTGAATACGCTGGCTCTTTATGGATCAATTCACCAGCTGTCTTCCTTCCCCCGTGTTTTGGTTTCCAGACAATCTACCATCTGAGATCATTGATCATTTGCCCTTGGCCATAATCTTTTCTGCTTGACAGGCTTTCGGCAAGGCATCTAGCCTACTCATCTCCCTGTATACAAACTGCATGCCGCTTTGCCCAGAATACTCCAGTGGCCTTCTCAAGTTTGTGTGTGTAACGGCAGATGGTGCTAACATATGGAGTAGCAGTCAGGAGTAGTAGGGAATTCAGAAACGTCGTCCTCCGATTGGTGCTCAAGCTTTGCAGCTCTGCCCGAGAGCTTTCCAACAGGGTGGGGGAAGTGATCTTACTCAAATTTGCAGGAACGCTAAGAAGAGGCATTGATCCAACACATTTTTTGGAGTGCTGGATGTAATGCACAGTGCTTTCCTATAAACATGTTGGAAGGAAAGAGTAAGAGACAGTGAGAGAGCCAGAGGACTAGACATAGAAATATACATAGGGTAATAAGCAACTGAGTCCTGTTCACAGCAGACTCACTGAAATTAGTGGACATGACTAAGTTAGATCTTCTCTGACAAAACCACCCTTATAATTTATTACTCAGTTTGGAGTCTGGAATGATGTTTGTCCCCAGTTAGACCAACCAGGTACCCTGGTTTCCTTTTTTACTTGAATGTAACCACTTTGGCTGTAGTGTTCAACTGCCTTCTTCTGAATTATCATACTATTGTTCCATCTCTCATCAGTACTGTCTGCTCTGATAGGCAACAGTTCGCTGAGGCTTCAGGCAGGGTCTTCCTCAGCCCCAACTATCAGGGATTCCGTTTTAAGAACATAAAATCCATGTTAAAGCAGACCAAAGGCATGTCTAGTCCAGGCGTATCTTGCAGTGGACAACCAGATATGAGGAACGGTTGAAGGAGCTGGGTATGTTTAGCCTGGAAAAGAGGAAACTGAGAAGAGGTATGACAGCCATCTTCAAATATCACAAGGGCTGTCACATGGAAGAGGGAACAAGTTTAGCTTCTCCTGCTCTGGAGGGTATGACTCAAACCAATGGCTTCAAGTTACAAGAAAGGAGATTCTGACTAAACATGAATCTATGATTCCATGATTTAAAAAATGCATCGTTTTATTACTTTGGTGTTCGTTTTCCTGGGCTCCTTTTGGGGGGAAAGGTGGGATAGTGCCTTCAATTAAATAATATCTGGAAAGGATGCCACTAATGAGCTGTAGAGCTGAGGTAATCAGAAATTCACGTGTCTCTTTATGGACAAGATCCATGAATTTCCATTTTGCATACTACACCAAAAGTATGGAATTCAAAGGGTTAGATGTGCTTTTATTGCAGGGCAGTTGTGGGAACTGACTTTCTGTCTGATATCTGTGTAATTTCCCTCTCTCTTTTTTTTTTTTTTTAAAAAAAACACACCTTCCAGCATCAACATTTCAACAACTTCTCTAGGCAAGTTGTTCCTTTGACTGGCTCCATGTACAGATCTTCCCAGAAACAAAATCAATGGTGTCCAAACGCTCCCAGATCAATATTCTCTCCGCCTCTTAACTTATGCTGTTTTATACTTTTCTCGAGCTGCTTTGTGCTTCCCAACAATTACCTGTTTTGAGACTTCAAGCTATTTTATTTTCAAAGATTAGAAACATCCATAACTGAGATCCAGTGGGTGGAGTTTAGATACAGCTGTCCTCTTTCAACCAAGCGGATTCAAAGTGTAGCCAAAAAGGCAATGATAAAAGCAGCACCCCTTCTGAAGTATTTCTGACTCCTTTATTATTATAACTCAGTATTTTAGGGTGTCAGCAGCTACGCTTTGGAACTCCCTGCCTATTGATATCAGTGAGGTGCCTTCACTGTACTCTTCTCAGCACACATTCTTCTTTCGACAAGCCTACCCAGATGTTTAGAAAGTTGGTGTGGATTTAATTCATTTTTAGTCTATTGTTATTTTAGTCTTTGAAAGTTTTAAATTATTGTTTGCTGATTTTTCTTATTGCTCATATTATTGCTTTATCTTTTCTGTAATCGAGTGAAATATGCATTTACTGAATAATAAATAATAAACAGATAACCGTGTGAGGGGAATCAGAGCTTACAGGGTTAAACAGCTCGAGTCCAGTGTCCTGCCTACTGGGGAGGGGTTTCCCACATCCGGGAACTTGTTCTTTGTTCTGTGTGAGTCTGCTTTCGGTTTTGGCCGAGACGAAGGGAGTCGCAATGCTGGTCGCTCCTGGAGCGGATGATTTATTTCTGTTGCTGTACATAATAAAGCTTCTTAGAGATTAGAAAGAAGCCGCATACACAGTTTTTTGCATGCTTGCACACAAAGGCATGGGACGCGGGTGGCAATGTGGGTTAAACCACAGAGCCTAGGACTTGCCGATCAGAAGGTCGGCGGTTCGAATCCCCGCGACGGGGTGATCTCCCATTGCTCGGTCCCTGCTCCTGCCCACCTAGCAGTTTGAAAGCACGTCAAAGTGCAAGTAGATAAATAGGTACCGCTGTGGCGGGAAGGTAAACGGCATTTCCGTGCGCTGCTCTGGTTCACCAGAAGCGGCTTAGTCATGCTGGCCACATGACCTGGAAGCTGTACGCCGGCTCCCTCTGCAACCCCAGAGTCGGCCATGACTGGACCTAATGGTCAGGATTCCCTTTACCTTTACCTTTACAGAAAGGCACAAGCTGTGTTTACTCTGCTACACATCTGGTAAAGCTGAGTGCCAGCCGAAGTGTGCCGCACCTAATTACTCCACAAACCGCTGTTGTTGTTGCTGCTGCTGCTGGCCTCCACTTGTCTCGAGAGACAATGGAGTGCATTTTCAAGGGTGAAATCAAACCTCTGTGCTAACAGCACCAAAGTAACCTCCCTGGGGTGCAAGCCTGGGTAGTGTGTATGGAGGTCCTAGGCTGCCCAGATGACAAGACCCTCCCCCTCATGGCCTCACTGATGTGGCACCAGCTTGGCTGCAGGCATTGCCAGAAGGAGACATACAAGGCACCATCCAAACATCACAGGGATTCCCCTTCAGACTTGTGTAGGGTTTACTCGTTGGCCATTTCTTCTCCCAAAGATATTTCCCAGGGCAGAGGAGGTTTAGTATTAGAGTTTTCCTTCTCTTAGATGGGCTTCCTTTGCCAGTAGACAAGTCCCATTTGCCCCTCACTTCCCAGGTGTGGGGAAGTGGACCTAACTGATAGTCCAGGTCCTTATTTCCCCCATCTCTCATGTGCCAACTTTCGACATTATAGGATGCCTGCACATTTTGAAATCAAACCCCTTCAGCCAAAGGTACAATGATTCTATCACGGGAGCCAGCAAAGCTCCCAGTGAGACCCAGTTGCAAAGGAACAATTGTAAGCTGCCAAAAGTTCACATATGACATCAGCCTGTGGGCTTTATCGGGACAGGTCCCAATTGGTTAACAAGGCCATGTCCCCCCAAGGCATGTTCTCTTAACGCATACCTGAAGGTTCCTGTCCCCACCTTACACCCATTCCTTGGAAGGGCTCTTAATTTTATCCATGTGGAGTGTTTTGAGTTTCAAACAGGGCCATTAGAGGCAACAAGTTAGGAAGGTGAAGCCTAGTAAGTAAACCTGCTTACTAAGTGACAAGGACAAAACTTGTCAATCATGCATGGTTCAAGTACCCACTTCACACAAGTAAATGAAAAGATCTACATATACTTTTGTCAGGAAGGCATCCCCTGGTATCTTATTGTTCTTCCTGGGTCTCATTTCACTCTGAAAACACCTAGCCTGGTCCCTTTGTCAGGGCTGTCAACACCTGGTTTGGCAGCCGGGAGTGGTAAACCTGAGTATGTGATGATACATCTTGAGGATTATAGAGTCCCCTTCCGCCCCCCCCCCATCCCGGTATCACATTTTTTTTACCTTTTGGAACTAAATAAAAGCATCTATTTGGCTATTTTTGGTGAATTTCTGTGTTTCAGAAAATGGGATTTCCTTCCCTTATGATGGCGCTGGGAGCCCAGTATAATGGAGGGAAATGTATAGAAATAAGTTTGCATTTAATACTGTGGAGCAGAACAAGCTCGTATTTTATTTTATTTTATTTTATTTTCAGTACAACTCAGGTGGTTAAGAAAGCCCAACAGAGACTCCATCTCCTCAGAGTATTGCGAAAGAACGATGTCAATCAACATTTGATGATCTCCTTCTACCGGTCCACAATAGAAAGTGTCCTTTCATACTGCATCACGGTGTGGTACACTGGTTTGACATCAACTGATAGGAAGTGCCTACAGAGGGTGGTGAATACAGCACAAGATATTATGGGCTGTCCCGTGAATCTGCTGGATGACATCATGGAAGAACACTGCCTCAGGAGCGTGAGGAAAATTCTCAGGGATGATTCACACCCTGGCCGGCACTTTCTTGATCTCCTGCCCTCGGGCACAAGATATAGAAGCATGATTAGTCGTACCAACAGGGTAAAGAATAGCTTCTATCCATGGGCTGTTAGGCTGCTGAATGAAAAGATAACAACAGGGCAACTGACTTTTGGGTTTGGTGTGTGTGTGTCAGTAAACGAGGGGAATTAAGACTAAGAGAGCTGAGTGGGGGGTGCTCATGTAATCTCACTGTATACAAGTTGTACGAGTGACAATAAAGTATTTCAAATTTCAAATTCTGGAGCTATGGCTGTTGTCAAGTCCTTACAGAGTAGAATGCTGGCCCAAGAGGCCAATGCTTCTGATGAATTGGTTGGGTACACTCCTCCCTTTGTCCGCAACACTTGGTGTGGGAACTTATTCAAGAATAGAGGCACTTAAAATGAGCAGCCCCAGTTTGAAATGGACACCACCCTTATATGACAAACTTAGATCCATTGATTTCAGCAGGTCTGCTCTGAATATGACTTAGGCGGAATTTGACTGTCATGATTTCATCCTTGGTTTTACCATTCTTCCTTGTGAACTGCTTTTAACATGACATATATGGGAAGGCAGGATAAATAAGTCAAGAATCTATAACAACTGGCCTTGTTCATATGATTTCCAAAGTGGTAATGGGAGGAAGCCACTGAGAAGAGGTCCCCATGACTGGAAAATATCAGTTGGGCCTTAATCTGCTGACATCCCCATTTTATGGGAGACACAAAGCTTCTTTTAAGAACACAGTGGAATCGGCAATTTCACACATACACCCCTATCAAAAGACACTACAGAGAAACAAGGAATTCAGGATAATAACATCTTCCCTCCGGCTCTCAGGAGACACGCAGGAACGCAATCTGCTGTGTCGTGGCAGGACTGTTTAGAATGAAGTGCACAGTTTGAATATAAAACGCAAAATTATCTCATCGATGGACAACAATCAGATTACATGCAATGAGACTGGATTCCCCACCCACCCACCCCGGCTAATGAATTACAGAGAAAGAGACTCTTCGCATTCTTCAGACACATCCTCTCCTCTAAATAAGATACAATCCAGCATATTGAATTTTATGTACTTACCTGTGCATGCATAAAAAATTAGGAATTAGTGCCTGATCTTGGCTGTGTAGGGTACTTAAACAGTTGCTCCTGTCAGTTTTAATAATGCAGAGGGAAGGAAAATAGCACCCTGATAGGAGCTTTTGAGCTCAAAATATTTGTAACTCCAGGTTCCTTATTGCATTAACTACCTGGTTGTTTGACACTGATTTATTATCCAACTTTTCTTCCTCTCTGGTGCATATGCAAATCCTTTTACTACTCTAAGCATGCTTTCTTAAAATAATTCGCTGCTACCACTGCAGTTTTGAGAGAAAGTGAAACATTCATATTAAGGAACTGTTGGTTTGATCCAGCGAAGACATTTTGCAAGCAACTTGACTTCTGATCAAGCAGTGGAAACTTTCCTACCTCTCTTCCCCCTGTGGAACCCCCACCACCACCTCACAAATCTGCTCTGGGGGTTTCCCAAACCCTCTGTAGCAGTTGGGGAACTGGCACCAGGAAAGAGGAAAGGAAGTGGAAGTTCTGTTGCATGAACTCTTAATTCATGTCTCTTTGTTCATGCAGTGACTCCATTAAATTCAACCTTATAATGAGCTGCATAAATTGAATCAAGTCATGGTGGCTTAGTTGATAGATTGCTGGATTTCAGTGGTGGAAATGAGGTGGGATTACTGTTAGACCCATCATTAGTGAGGCCGAGGGTCACATATGCAAGAACACAACATGAATACAATTCTGGTAAGAACCAGTTGAAGAGGAAATTAGTGGCTGATTGCTAAAGGGTAAAGCAACTCCATGGAAGGTACAAGGAGGGCTCTGACATCTAAAGTAAAAATGGGTTGAGTAAGTTGTATCCATAGCTGTCAACTTTCAGATTTGAAAATAAGGGATCAGCAGCCAAAATAAGGGACCAGCAGCCTCACCTGTCCCAGGCACTCCTGTCTTCCACTGCCTCCCGCAGTTTGGTCAAACTCATGCTGGCAGCTTCGAGAACACTGTCCAACCATCTCGTCCTCATGGTTCAATGTTACTAGTGAGCAAAGTTACCCAGTGAGGATTTGAATCTTGGTCCTAACTTTTGGGGTTAAGTTTCTATTTAGCTGTCCATTAATACTGACAAACCGTATCTCTAATTCATCTCTCAGATCCCCTTGTAAATCTAAAGTACTGACCTCACCACATCCTGTGGTAAAAAAATTCCCCAAGTTAATTACACATTGTGTGAAGGTAAGTTTGTGAAGCTACAGCATTCCTACTATAAGCTTAAGAGACACATTCACGCTCTCTCTCTCTCGCTCTCTCTCTCTCACACACACACACACACACACACAGAGTAGAGCCCCTCCGAGCCAAAGGCCCAAAGGCAGAAAGCCCAGCCAGCAGCCAAACGAAGCCTCAAGCGGTGGTTCCCACAGCACAGCAACCCGGCAAAGGGATACAGCAGCAAGGAAAACCACACTGTCACCTCTCCGCTGGGAAGCACTGAAGCAAAGGCAAGCCCCCAGGCAACACGGCTGATTTGATCGGCACAAGGCATGCAAGCTCCACCCCCCAGTCGTTCTCAGACTCCTTATTGGGCAGCCAAGCAACGCAGTTGAGGAGCCTCCCTGGCCGGCAGGGAGGGAGAGGAGCTGCTTCCTTTGAAATCTGGGAAATTTATGGGATATCAACAATCTGGGATAGCAGCGGGAAACAGCGCTGGAATAAGGGAGTTTCCCACCAAATAAGCGAAGGTTGACAGCTATGGTTGTATCTCATGGACTGTGATTCGATGAGAGGTGGTGAAGCACTGGGATGGCAGAAGATGGTTGGATAGAGGATGGACAGCGAAGATGACACACAGTTGCCCACAAAGTTTGTGTCCTAACGGAAATGCTTTTACAGACTCTTTGGACTCTGGTATCTGATAATGCTGCTGGAGGAGACTCTTGAGAGTCCCATGGACTGCAAGAAGATCAAACGTATCCATTCTGAAGGAAATCAGCCTGAGTGCTCACTGGAAGGACAGATCCTGAAGCTGAGGCTCCAATACTTTGGCCACCTCATGAGAAGAGAAGACTCCCTGGAAAAGACCCTGATGTTGGGAAAGATTGAGGGCACAAGGAGAAGGGGACGGCAGAGGACGAGATGGTTGGACAGTGTTCTCAAAGCTACCAGCATGAGTTTGACCAAACTGTGGGAGGCAGTGGAAGACAGGAGTGCCTGGCGTGCTCTGGTCCATGGAGTCACAAAGAGTCGGACACGACTAAATGACTAAACAACAACAACAAAATCAAGGAGAGGGTTTTCAAACCTGTTTTCTCCAGTGTGGTTAGCCTGTAGCTCCCATCAACCCCAGCTAGCTTAGTCAATAATCAGGCATACCTTCTGAAATATACTCGGAGTTGAGTGTGGATTTCATGCTCTTTATTCAGCTCAACAACATCTGATAATGCATTGCATGGTTGCCCCTTCTAATGGGACAGTCTGCCAAATGTCAGAAAGAATAGGTGAATCAGTTCTCCTTCAGGGGCAGATTATGTCATTTTGGGGTGGGTAACATAGGAATCAGGACAGGGGCAGGGCACAGGGGAGTAGAGAATAAATTCTCAAGGAAAAACAGGGTGGGGTGGTTTTTTACCCACCACAGGAATAATCCTTCCAGGGCCATCGATGGGGACAGGCTTCTGCCTCCCCTTCATGGATTTTGGGGAATACAGTCTCTTCTCCCTGGAAAAGTGCTTCATTAACTCTGAAATTTTGGATCCCCTCCAAACTGATGCCAAAGTTTTGTGCTTGTTTTCCGCCAACCTATGGGAGAGAAATATATGTCCATTGACTTGCCCAGGGGGTTATGGAAAGACCCGCAGGAAAGACTGAGGGTGGGGGAAATCTCACCCTTCCAGCAAGAACCTTGTTACCCCAAGAGTGGGCAATGGAGTTTGTGGGGAGCTTCTTTCAATTGATTTTCGCAGGGAATGGCATAGATTCATATAAAAAAAAAAATAATCACTGTTTTTAAGTTCTCCAAATCACTGTGATTGGAGTGCCCTGGGGAAATAATTCACTATGATTAAAGGCTAGACCTGTCCATCACAGCAACTCCCTATGCCCTATAAATATCACTTTAAAACACACACACACACACAAACAACCTTGATTGCAATCATAACCGTGGCCACATGTGAACTGCTGCCTCTGGCGCCAGAACATAAATGCTATGTTTAAACACAGAGCTTCACATGTGTCTAAAAATATATATAATTAGTAACCAAGGCAACTAACTGTGATGGAACCTTGCTTTTAATAGCAAATACCAAAATAAGCTTTTTAGCGGTGCTTAAGAAATCTCTTCTGTGCATAGTATGCAAATTTAGATCATGCTGAGAGAGACGGAGGGGCAATTAAAATCAACATGTCAAGTGCTGTTTGGATAACAAATCTTTCGGGCCTCGCATATGCAATTCAGAAACCAAGCCACTTGCGCTAGGATGAAGAAGCCAAGCGCACAAGGACCAGCGCTGTATTCATAAACTAGATGCAAGAATATCAGAAGCTGTGCTTTACCATATGAGATAATTAGCTGGCCTAACTCAGTATGGTCTGGGCCACAGTCCCTTCTGGAAAACTTTCTGAGGACTGCATGCCACTGATGGAGAGGGCCAGAGATACTTGCACACTGCTCCGATAAGGCAATTGAGAGGCATTAGAATAAGTTAAAGACACATCCTAGCCATGAAAATACATTTTGTTAGGGATGCACAGCTGGGACGTAGCCTTGGGCAGGTTCGAAGGGCAGGTAGAGAGACCTGGAAGACCACATTTGGGCCCTAGACACAGAGCCATAGCTAGGTAATCTTGCGCCCCTGGCAGAACTGTCCAGATTGCACCCCCTAGCCACTGACAAATTAGCTCTTCTTTCCACCTCTCCTCCAACCCCCCCCCCAATTCAATTCACCCTTTATTTAAAACCTTTTCTTATGAGGCAATAATCAATATTTTTATTTATGGACATATTTTTAGCCGATTTCATGCCCCTGCCCCTCACTTGTGCCCCTGGTGGGGTCCCATCTCACCACCCCCTAGCAATGGCCCTGTCTAGACCCCAGGTTCCCCACCCTTGGTTTACACCCTTGGTGTTCAACTGATAGGTTGGGATGCACCACAAGGTCACAGCCTGATCTAAGGTGGGTTGTCACAGCAGCACTGCAACCATATAGATATATGGGTGGGTTGGTTGGTTGGTTGGTTGGTTGGTTGGTTGGTTGGTTGGTTGGTTTAAAAAAGATGTTGGTCCCCATATGCATATTTAGGTTCAAGATGGGTCCAAGACTTGGAAAGGTTGAAGACCACTTGCCTAAACCAGTCCATTGCCAGAAGGCTACACGTGACTTCCGCTTCCATTGGTCTGACCCTCCCACCAAGTCATGAGAGAGAAGATGGATGAACAGGTGGAAGTGCGGAAGGGATGAAGGAATGGATGAGAGGGTGGATTTGTGTGTGTGAGAGAGGGGGGAGTGTCCTATCCATATTTTGACAGATTAAACTCCATGTTCTTCCAAGGAAATTCTGCAGTGTCCTGTGAAGGAGACAAAAAACCCAAAACAGAAGCCTCTTTTGCAAGAAAAGTAAACTTTTTAAACAGGTTTCAGCAGAGTACAGGTTTTGGGTGGGCACGTGAGCTACCCTAGTACAAAGCAGCTTCCAGTAATAGTAATAGTAGTGATGTATGGAAGTGAGAGCTGGACCATAAAGAAGGCTGATCACCGAAGAAATGATGCTTTTGAATTTTGGTGCTGGAGGAGACTCTTGAGAGTCCCATGGACTGCAAGAAGATCAAACCTATCCATTCTGAAGGAAATCAGCTCTGAGTGCTCATTGGAAGGACAGGTCCTGAAGCTGAGGATCCAATACTTTGGCCACCTCATGAGAAGAGAAGACTGCCTGGAAAAGACCCTGATGTTGGGAAAGATTGAGGGCACAAGGAGAAGGAGGTGAAAGAGGACGAGATGGTTGGACAGTGTTCTCGAAGCTACCAACATGGGTTTGACCAAACTGGGGAGGCAGTGGAAGACAGGAGTGCCTGGCGTGCTCTGGTCCATGGGGTCACGAAGAGTCGGACACAACTAAACAACAACAAGAAGAATTGGAAGGAACCCTGAGGGTCATCCAGCCGAACCCCTGCAAAGCAGAAATCACAACAGAAGCATCCGTGATAGATGACCATCCAACCTCTGCTTAAAAACCATAATAATAATAATGTGAATAATCAGTGTTTGCTTGAAATGGTTAGTGAATAAGATTTCAGCTCATAATGTCCATCTCCTTTTATCTCATTTTGAATTTAATGGGTGGCGTGGCGTGGCCTTTTCTCATGCAGGATTTCAGCTGATCAGCTTTATAATTGCTACACACCTTGTAAATGGAGCTATTCTCCACAGGGGGTTGGAGATGGTGACTCTGCACACGCTCTTCTCCTTTGTTTTTAAATCACTCACATTTTGTTTCAGATGGGGTTTATGAGGCTTCCCTTTTGCTCTGGTAATGATTTGTTGTTCAATTGTGTCTCATCCGGCTATTATCTTCAAAGCGCCTTGAGATGCAGCACATGAAAGCTGCTCTCACAAGTGGTTTATGGAACGGAATGAGAATTCAGGTATCAACAGGCTGCGATTAATGGGCCTGTACTAAATAATCAGAGTGTTCCTTCCTTCCTTGAAATCAGCAGCGGTGTCAGGCATCCAGAAATGGAAAACCTGCAAACGAATGTTGTACATGAGGTGGATATAAACCTTGCTGATGTCCAGGTCACGCATTTCACCTGCCTTATAAGAGCTGATTGGTGACATTATTTGTCAACATATGAGATGAGAGCTGTAGGCAGTGAAATAACAGAGCCATTATCACCCACTGCAAATCAAAAGAAACTACAGTCATCTTCCAAAGGGGAAGATAGTGGAACCATGCCATCACTCCTGATTTTAACTGACATTGATTGGCAAGTGAAATTAAAGCCTCCTCAAGCCCTGCTGAAGCTAGTGTTAAACTACACTCTTGTTGTAAGACTAGGCGCAGGTGGCGCTGTGGTCTAAACCACTGAGCCTCTTGGGCTTGCTGATCAGAAGGTCAGCGGTTTGAATCTCCACAATGGGGTGAGCTCCCTTTGCTCTGTCCCACCTTCTGCCAATCTAGCAGTTCGAAAGCACACCAGTGCAAGTAGATAAATAGGTACTACTGCAGCAGGAAGGTAAAACGCATTTCCGTGCGCTCTGGCTTCTGTCACGGTGTTCCGTTGCACCAGAAGCAGTCTAGTCATGCTGGCCACATGCGACCCCATAATCACTTTTGACTGGACTTAACCATCCAGGGGTCCTTTAACTTTACCTTTACATTTCCAACCCCCCCCCCCCGACACTTGCGTATGCTGTTTGGGGCTGTTGAGAGTCATATTTGCTACCTGTATTTTAATGAACATTGGGAGACACAAGCATAATGTCCTGAACCCCTGGCCTACCTGGCAGTAAGTCAGTATGTCAAATTCCCAGTCCAGGGTCAATCCAGGTGTCCAAAGTCCAAAACAGAGCACCGTCCCACAGAGATCTGGAACATCCAATGTGAGAGTCAGGGACTGGGCAGGTGAGGAGGAGAAGTGGAGACCAGGAAGCTTGCAGTCAGGGGCCAGATGATGGGAGTATGGAGCCAAAATTATATCATTTGTGCTAGATTCTACAAGGAGGTTCTTGGGCTCTTGTGCAGGTCTTAGCCTTTGTAGGAAGAATGGGAAGACCTGTGGCCTATGGGATTTGCTGGACTACAACTCTCATGAACTCAAAGCCACACACAGGTTCCCCATTTATCCATGAATTCAAAAACAGATGCCATGAAGTCTAGCTGAATTTCTAAATTAGAGGTGTAGTGTCAATCTGGTATGTAAATCTTTCCCTGTCTGTAGACAATAACTAACGTACAGAGAATATTTTTTTTGCGGGGGGAGAGGGTTAGAGAGGAAAAAGCAATGGCACTCTGCACATGTGTAAAGGCACACTTTCCTAAGCACATGCTGTACAAGTCTTACGGTGATGAGAAAAGCAAGGTTGAAAATTGCAGCCCTACCAAGTCAAAGAATTATCAGCTGCTGCCCGTCCAAGTCATGAAAACATATAAAGAAGGAATAGGGAATCTGTGGCCCTCCAGATCTTATTGGACTAGAACTCCCATCAGCCCTGGCCAGTATGGTCCATGAGGGTTGGTAGAAAAGCCTCAGTAAATTCAAGGAAATATAAAGTGTGTGGGGGACAGGCAAGAGTGTGTTTGAGATCTTGAGATGGTTTTTTTTTTTTAATTGCCTGACATTTCTGGTGGGAGGGCTGTGTCTCAGTAATTCCCGTAGACCAGCCCCCATGGACCTGGACCCCACAAAGCTCAAATGTTGCCTCTCCCTTTATCAGCCCCCACACCAACTCTGGTCATCTGCCCAGGCCCAAATATGTGTTTCTAACATGTATGAAAACCAGAGTGAACAGAATCAGTGCCTTTAGAGGTGTCATTTCCCTTCTTTACTGTCTCATTTCTTCCATTTGGTCTTTGACGATGCAGATTAACCTCTCCATTTTCTTTTGGAGTAATATATCTAATCCTGTGTTCTTTTTTTTATTTCTTTTGGATTGGATCCACAGTTCCCCTTCCTCTGATGGATGCCACTTTCTTTCCTGATGGGAATCTTCCTTGGATGCATGTGGTCCTTCTGATGAACAAGAAATGCTCCTTCCAACAGAGAAAGAGAACGTTTGGATCCAAGCCATCATATTTTGACTTGTTCTTATCAATTTTTTAAGCTGCCTTGAGGCTTGGATGAACAATTCATTGAATCGATTTAAATAAATACTTAAAATAAGAATTCAGGAAGAAAGGCAATACCATAATCAATCATTTTAAATCTGGAAACATTTCTTTAATTAATTAACCGCAAACATCATTCTACTACTGATGTAACTGATTCTCTCAGCTTGCAATAAAATTGTGCATGTGGCTATGTGTTCTCAGAATAAAGGAGTTATTTGCAACATTTCAATAAGACTGCTCTTCTGTTTTCCAGGAGGATAGATTTGTCACTCACTTACTAGGGTGCTCATTAGGAATTTGTGGTATCTCCCATACTGGTCAAATGTGTACCATTGCTTCAGCTACAGCATACTCTTTGAGCTCAGTATGGTGGGTTTCAGTTGCTTGATGGACTCCTTGGTTTTGCCACAACAGGTAGGGAGTGTGGTCAAGGAGAGAAAAGGAAATGGGGTTGTGGTTCACTGAGATGTTGAAGGGACACCGTGTCACCTACCAGACATCAACGGCCAGCTCAAGTGGATGAAGAAGGAAATGACTTTTGGTTCCTAGAAGCTTCACCCATCTGACAGGAATAGAACAGGTAAGAAATGGAGCAAACTAGCACTTCCCAGCTCACCTTTTGGTGAGTGGAAAAGGAAGGGCATGGACCAGTCAATCCTCTGATCCAGAAGCCAGAGGTTTCCTCAACAGGGAACATAGGTGTTCATTCCATTGCCTCCCCTAAGGAAGGATATCCCCAGTGTTCAAGCAGGTCTCTCCTAACTTACTGCAAGACACTTATGGTTAATTAATAAAAAGTTGGCTTTTTGGTCCATTGTTGTGTCTTATGCCAACTTTCTGGGGTATGGGGGAATTTATTCTTGTAGATCAAATATTACATATGTGCAGAACAGATGTCTGTCTGGCCCACAGGAAAATGTGGCATTTGAGGGTGCACCCTGGTGTGCCTTGCTCACCAATGCTATGAAACCCTAGAGACATCAAAAAGTGTCCAAAACCTGCAGACTGGGTGGTTTTGTGATCTTTCCTTGCAGTTCTAGTCTAATAATGTATAGCCACATAAATCAGGGGCAGGGAACTGTGTCCATCCAGATGTCGCTAGATTGCAGATCCCATCTGTCCCAGCCAACATGGGCAAGAGTCAAGGGTGATGGGACTTGGAGTCTAGCAACAGCTGGAGAACCACAGACTGGTAAGGAGGACAATGTGAGAGGTAAACTGTTGATTTGCCACAGGTTTTGGTTGTGCTGGCTCAATAAGCAAGGAGGAGTCCACACTTGCATCTTCTTGATCCTTCAGAAGCCATCACTACTTGTCCTCCAGGTTGGACAGAGCCAAGACGGCATAATTCTGCAATTGTTTGCGCTCATCCAGGTTATACTGCAGCTTCTCCAGCAGCTCAAAGTAGCGGAAGAGGGCGTCACGGGGCCAAATGACCTGCTCGTCATTCTCAGCCTCGTATAGCCCTGGCAGGTTCTTGTGGACATATGTTTCCCAATCCAGAGGCCCAGCCTCGACTTCTGGTATGCTGTATATTGTGGATGGCCCCATGCTCATTTTGTCCTGCCCCTGGGGTGAGCTGTACTTCTTTTCCAGCAGTTCCAGCTTAAATTTGTCAGCTTTCTGCTGAGTCTCAATCTGCTTCATTTCTTCACTCAATTCATTCCGAATGGTCTGGAAATTGGTGACCATGGTGGCCACCATGAAGTTTCTGAAGATGAATGCCCCAACGAGGAGCCACAAGCAGATAAACAAGCCACTGATTGCTTTGTTTATCTCTGGGACCTTCCACGTGTCCTGCAGCAGAGCATACCAATGGTCCATGGTGAAGAGAATGAAGATGGTCACCAGTGAATTGGGCATGTCTTGAAAAGAAGAAAATGCCTGATACGGCAAAAACATAGAAGAAGACGAAGAGCACCAGGATGAAGCTCATGGCTTTCATTGCTTTGAAGAGGGCCATAATGAGGATCCGGATTTGCTGGAGTCTAGGGAAGAGCTTTAAGCATCGCAGCACACGGCAAACCTGGAGGAAGTTTGTGACGGCCTTGCTGTGTTTCTTTTCAACAAGGAGTATCAACTCAGGGATAAAGGATATGATGGTGACTGTGCAGTCAAAGACATTCCAGCTGTTCTTAAAATAATCCTGAAAGCTAACAGCCCAGTTCAGCCCAATTTCCACCAAAAAGATGAGGACAATGACCCAGATGATCACCTCCATTGCTATCTTCATTTTCACAAAGTGGTCTTCCAACTTATCCCTTATCTCTACTAAGATCATGAGGACCACCATGTTCAGGCAGATGAGGAAGATCATGAAGACTTTGAAGATTTGGATTGCAGAGTTTTGAAAAACTAAAAAACATAGTGAGAGATTGGCTTCATTACTATCAGATAATGGAGGCATATAATTTGGATAAGAAAATAGGCTTCCAGGTGGAAAAGTCAAAATTAGAAACAGAATTGCTAGAACCCAAAACTAAAAATCTGTCAAGAATGTATAACTTGCTGTTGAAATGGAATACTCAGGATGAAACGGTGAAATCTGCTATGATTAAATGGGCACAAGATGTTGGACATAATATTATGTTTGCTGACTGGGAACAGTTATGGACCACAGGTATGAAGTTTACGGCATGTAATGCCTTAAGAGAGAATATTATGAAAATGATATACAGGTGGTACATGACCCCAGTCAAGCTTGCAAAAATTTATCATTTGCCCGATAATAAATGTTGGAAATGTAAAGAAACTGAAGGTACATTCTTTCACCTTTGGTGGACGTGCCCAAAGATCAAGGCTTTCTGGGAAATGATATATAATGAACTGAAAAAGGTATTTAAATATACCTTTCTGAAGAAACCAGAGGCCTTTCTTCTGGGCATTGTCGGCCAATTGGTGCCAAAGAAGGACAGAACCCTTTTTATGTATGCTACAACAGCAGCAAGAATACTCATCGCAAAGTATTGGAAGACACAAGATCTACCCATTTTGGAAGAATGGCAGATGAAGGTGATTGACTACATGGAATTGGCGGAAATGACTGGCAGAATCCGAGACCAGGGAGAAGAGTCGGTGAAAGAAGACTGGAAGAAATTTAAAGACTATTTACAGAAATATTGCAAAATTAAGGAATCTTAGAAGGATGTTGGATAGAAACTAAGAGGTTTTTAGCTGTAATGCTTTAAGGGATATGAAAAAAGGTTTACAATTGGGTAAAAGTTTAATGGTAAGGATTTGCTGAACTAACAAACTGAACTGGAATACAAAAAAGGGAGGTATGAGGAGGTCCGGGGAAATAAGTGTAGGGAAGATAGGTTTGGAAAATCAATGGCTTTTTAACTGTTTCATTTTGTATGTTTCTTTTTTATTCTTTACTTTTTTGTTATATTTTAAAAACTTTACTCTTTTTTTTGTATTCTGTATTTTTTGTATTTTTTGAAACTTTAATAAATATCATTTTAAAAAAAATAAAAAAAAGACTTTGAAGATTTGGCTGTTCAGGACTGAATAAGCCCAAATAGCGACAGGGGGCCAGCGGCTGCAGCGCACGCGGATAGACACTCAGTGGTGACCTCACAGGTGACCTCACACCTGGAGCAGTCAGAACATTCCACTAGCCTGATTCTATTAGTATGCCTAGGACTGCAGTTCTTAGGATCAATGCATGCAAGTTATATAATGGAATGCAGACATGAGCCAGTATATTGTCTAACTGCAGTGGTCCATGCACTGGTAACCTCGAGGCTTGATTATTGCAATGCACTTTATGTGGGCTACCCCTGTATCTGCTTCAGAACCTGCAGCTAGTGCAGAATGCAGTAGCCAAACTAATTACATGACTAAACTACTGGCAATATGTTGCTCCTCTGCTGTGGCAGCTGTACTGGTTGCCAGTTTCTTTTTCTGGACCAGGTTCAAGGTGTTTGTGTGAATTTCCAAAGCCCGAAACAGCCTAAGCGGAAAGGACCATCTGATCCCTTATGCTTCACCTCTGATGGGCACTTCTTGTAGTTCCCCACAGCCCTGAAGTTCAATTAGCCCTTGCTAGGGAATATTTATTGTGGCAGACCCTGACCTGTGGCAGAGCCTGACCTGTGGAGCCTAGACGTCTGACAGGAACCTTCCCTGCCTTCTTTCAGATGCCTTCTACAGAGCTGTTCTACAATGAAACGCACAACATACATACATACACACATACATACATACATACTGTTATTTATATGCAACCTTTCCATAATTAAAACCATGCTCAAGGCCGCTTACAATGTGAAAAAAAAATACATAATTACAATTATAACGAAAGTGGTCACAAACAACATAAACAATAAAACATCAAAAGTTTGCAACCAAATTGGGGGGGGGGGAATCCACATAAATCATAATATCATCCAAAATAAAGATACAAAAATAAATGTCAATAACAGCAGCAACCATCCTCCACCAATCTACCTAAACAATTCACCAGCCCAAGAATCTATTCTGCAGCCTCAGCTTTTGTAGTTGGAGTCAGTCAGGGCTCTGCCCTCTTAGCCCAGGTGGAAAAAGGCTTGCAAGGCAGGGAGGAGGAGGAGGAGGAGGAGGAGGAGGAGGAGGAGGAGTTTGAATTTGATATCCTGCTTTATCACTGCCCTAAGGATTCTCAAAGCGGCTAACAATCTCCTTTTCCCTTCCTCCCCCACAACAAACACTCTTTGAGGTGAATGAGGCTGAGAGACTTCAGAGAACTGTGACTAGCCCAAAGTCACCCAGCACCTGCATGTGGAAGAGCAGGGAATCAAACCCGGTTCAACAGATTACAAGTCCACCGCTCTTAACCACTACACCACACTGGCAGGTCTTTCAGGTCTCATAGCCAAGATGCTCTACTTCAGAAGGTTTTTCATTGGAGGTTTTTAAGCAGAGGTTTTTTAAAAAACAAAAACCAAAACTTTCAGGACCAGTGTTATATGGTCTCAGCGGCTGCCCTCAGTCATCAGTCTAGCTACCACATTCTGGATTAATTGTAGTTTTCGGGTCACCTTCAAAGGAAGTCCCATGTAGAGCGCATTGCAATAGTCCAAGCAAGAGTAACCAGAGCATGCACCAGTCTGGCGAGACAGTCCACGGGCAGGTAGGGTCTCAGCCTGCGTACCAGATGGAGCTGGTAGACAGCTGCCCTGGATACAGAATTGACCTGTGCCTCCATGGACAGCTGTGATTCCAAAATGACTCCCAGGCTGTGCACCTGGTCCTTCAGGGGCACAGTTACCCCATTCAGGACCAGGGAGTCCTCCACACCAGCCTGTCCCCTGTCGCCCAAGAACAGTACTTCTGTCTTGTCAGGATTCAATCCATTAGCCACCATCCATCCTCCAACCGCCTTCAGACACTCATACAGGACCTTCACCACCTTCACTGGTTCCAATTTGAAAGAGGTAGAGCTGGGTATCATCCGCATACTGATGAACACCCAGCCCAAACCCCCTGATGATCTCTCCCAGCGGCTGCATGTAGATGTTGAAAAGCATGGGGGCCAGAAACCCTGAGGGACCCCACAAGTGAGAGCCCAGGGGTGTGAACACTCATCCCCCACCACCGCTTTCTGAACACAGCCCAGGAGGAAGGAGCAGAACCACTGTATAACAGTGCACCCTGCTCCCAGCCCCTCTAGACGGTCCAGAAGGATGTTATGGTCAATGGTATTCAAAAGCTGCTGAGAGATCCAACAGAACTAGGAAACAGCTCTCACCTTTGTCCCTAGCCTGCCGGAGATCATCGACCAGTGCGACCAAGGCAGTTTCAGTCCCATGGTGAGGCCTGAATCCCGAATGGAAGGGATCCAAATGGTCCGCTTCTTCCAGGCGTGCCTGGAGTTGTTCAGCAACCACTCGCTCAATCACCTTGCCCAAGAATGGAATATTTGAGTCTGGGAGATAGTTGGCCATATTGGCCGCATCTAAATATGGTTTTTTAAGAAGCGGTTTGATAACTGCCTCTTTCAGTGGGTCTGGGAAGGCTCCCTCACAGAGAGAAGCGTTCACCACCCCATGAAGCCCATTGTCCAGCCCTTCCTGGGTAGCTTTATAAGCCAGGATGGGCAAGGATCAAGGAGACAGGTGATTGGTTTCACTCATCCAAGCAGCCTGTCCACATCCTCAGAGGTAACAGATTGGAATTGATCCCACGCAACTTGACTAGATAGGACTCTAGCACTCTCCCACCCCAGCCCTGCTCCCATAGTGGAGTCTATCTCTTACCGAATCTGAGCGACTTTATTGGCAAAAAACTTTGCAAAATCAATGCAGGAGATCATGTGGCCACTACTGGGCCCCGATGGAGCAGGTGGTTCCACTAAATTGCGAACCACCTGAAAGAGTCTCCTGCTGCTGTTTTCTGCAGATGCAATAGAGGCAGTGAAGTAAGTCTTCTTCGCCGTTGCTATCGCCACTTGGTAGGCTCAACATTGAGCTCTAACCTGTGTCTGGTCAGCTTCAGGGTGAGTTATCCGCCACCAGCGCTCTAGCCGTCTCAGCGATTGTTTCATTGCCCTCAGATCCGTGGAAAACCACGGGGCTGTATAGGGAAGCTTTTTAGTGTTTAATGTTGAGTTTTTATATATGTTGGAAGCTGCCCAGAGTGGCTGGGGCAGCCTAGTCAGATGGGTGAGGTATAAATAATAAAGTTATTATTGTTGTTGTTGTGGAACAGGACATCCCTATTTCCATCAGAGAAATGTTGGAGGGTATAGAGAAGGCTTCTAGTATCATTTGAATGTCACTGAGAAGCTCTCCTGCAGAATGCAGTTAAATAAGGGCTAAAGAAGTCTTATAATGGAATTGGCATGTGAAATAGTGTCTGTGTGTCATGAGTGGTCTAATAAAGGGTTTCTGTGAACCCAAAGAGCTCTTCCATGGAGGATGCCTGGTGCAACTCTACATGACTGCCTGCTCTCCTCTGGGCTCTTTATGGGGCAGACCTCACTATGTCACTGCAAGAGCCACTGTTCTGGGTGTGCCTGCTAACTAGAAGGAGGCAAGTTTATCTTTCACTCACTTCACTGCAGAGTTGCAGCAGAATAACTAGATCTCTAAGGAGACCATTGAGTCTCTGGATGAGTCATTGGTCTGAGCATGCCTCTTTGAAAGAAGAAAACATGTCCAGAACCAGCCACTCATGCAGAAACAAAGAAAAAATAGAGGTCTGCTGGAGGCAAGTGATTCTCATACAGTTTAGAAAACAGGTCGGAGTATTTTTAAATGTGGAGGTCAAACGATCAGAAATCATGGCCTAGGTGGGTCTTCTTCAACTTTGGATCCCCAACTCCAATCATTCCTGACCAGACCCTCCAAGTGTCCCTATTTTCCAGTGATGTCCCTGATTTGAAGAAGCTGTCCCAGTTTCTCATTTGATCCCAGAATGTCCCGCTTTTCCTTAGGATGTCCCTATTTTCATTGGAGAAATGTTGGAGGGTATGGAGTTATCCAACCCCTGAGCCATCTTAAGGCAATCCTATATAGGGAAGGTTTTTTTTAACATTTAATGTTTTATTATGTTGTTGTTGTTTTTATGTTGGAAGCTGCCCAGAGTGCTGGGGCAACCCAGTAAGATGTGTGGGATAAAAATAGTAAAATTATCATTATGGAATGGTGCGTCCCTATTTTCATCGGAGAAATGTTAGAAGGTGTTATGTACTGGGAAACCCAGCCAGATGGGCAGGGTACAAATAATAAATTATTACTATTATTATTATTATTATTATTATTATTATTATTATTACTAAGTTGAATAGGATCCAAAATGCAGCTGTCTCTTTTGGTCCTAGAACAATAGGATTCAGAATGCAGCAGTCTGATTGGTCTGCGGGAGCCACCCAATCCAACTCTAGGTGGAAGTGAATCCGCAAGCTGATTGGCCTACAGGAGAATCCCAAAATTAGCCAATCACGTGGGGCCAGTTGTGTAAATAATGTATATAAAGCAGATATTTTGGGGGGAACTTCCATTCCTCACTACTATGAGCTGAATAAAGAGCATGAAATCCACACTCGACTCCGAGTATATTTCAGAAGGTATGCCTGATTATTGACTAAGCTAGCTGGGGTTGATGGGAGCTACAGGCTAACAACACTGGAGAACACAGGTTTGAAAACCCTCTCCTTGATTTTGTTGTCGTTGTTGTTTAGTCGTTTAGTCTTTGTGACCCCATGGACCAGAGCACGCCAGGCACTCCTGTCTTGCACTGCCTCCCACAGTTTGGTCAAACTCATGCTGGTAGCTTTGAAATCTTATTCACTAACCATTTCAAGCAAATACTGATTATTCACATTATTATTATTATGGTTTTTAAGCAGAGGTTGGATGGTCATCTATTACGGATGCTTCTGTTGTGATTTCTGCTTTGCAGGGGTTCGGCTGGATGACCCTCCGGGTTCCTTCCAATTCTTCTTGTTGTTGTATAGTTGTGTCCGACTCTTCGTGACCCCATGGACCAGGGCACGCCAGGCACTCCTGTCTTCCACTGCCTCCCCAGTTTGGTCAAACTCATGTTGGTAGCTTCAAGAACACTGTCCAACCATCTCGTCCTCTGTTGTCCCCTTCTCCTTGTGCCCTCCATCTTTCCCAACATCAGGGTCTTTTCCAGGCAGTCTTCTCTTCTCATGAGGTGGCCAAAGTATTGGATCCTCAGCTTCAGGATCTGTCCTTCCAGTGAGCACTCAGGGCTGATTTACTTCAGAATGGAGAGGTTTGATCTTCTTGCCGTCCATGGACTCTCAAGAGTCTCCTCCAGCACCATAATTCAAAAGCATCAATTCTTTGGCGATCAGCCGTCTTTATGGTCCAGCTCTCAATACTTCCTTTCAAAGACTGAGTGTGGAATTTGATGCAGCTGCAGCACAGGGACGCTAGGGGGTGTAAAGCCATAACATTCAAGAAGCAATATCCTTTTAGCTTTTTGTGTCATGAATCTCAGAGGGTGTGGGGCGAAGGAGAGACGTGCCATCAGCTGCCTCCTATTACAGATGCTGCTGGCTTTGGGTTTTGCTTAAAAGCTTTCTCTTTTCGAATCCCATTACAACTCTATGCAGGCCATTAGTTAATTAAGTGAAGCTACCGGAGTCTTTGATTGTCTGAATCTGTCATTATTCTTGGCCAGCCACCTTTGGGGATTTACCTTCCTCCACACAATCAGGAAATGTGGAAAGCAAATACAAAAACCAGGCGACAAAAACCAGCAAGAAAATGAATTCCTCTTGGGACGGAGCCAAATCTGTCTCCTTCTGCCAAGTACATTAAATCACTAGGTGCTCTCTTCCCTCCCCCACAAGACACAGTGACACTGGCAGCCTCTTGAGTAAAAGGGAACAATGAACTCATTACCGAACCCAGTTATTTTTGTAGCCTCCTCAGTATGATCAAAATGGACACCGGGTTCTTTTACCCTACAGTCCAGGAATTCGGCTTCTCCACCCCCATCGTCCAGCCCGGACACTGAGTTCCTCCTCCAAGGGTCTTCTGGCGGTTCCCTCAGTGCGAGAAGTGAGGTTACAGGGAACCAGGCAGAGGGCCTTCTCGGTAGCGGCTCCCTCCTTGTGGAATGCCCTCCCTTTGGATGTCAAGGAAATGAACAGCTATCTGACTTATAGAAGACATCTGAAGGCAGCCCTGTTTAGGGAAGTTTTCAAGGATTGATGTTATGCTTTTAGATGTGTTGTAAGCTGTCCAGAGTGGCTGGGGAAACCCAGCCAGATGGGTGGGGTATAAACAATATCATCATCATCATCATGTTACTGAACTGCAAGTGAAGGGTGGAAAGCTGGGGTGGCTAACATTTCCTTGATGAAAATAGGGATGTCCTATTCAATAATAATAATAATACCACAAACATCTGACTAGGTTGCCATTTAAACAAATAAAGTGGGACATCCAGGGATCAAATCAGAATCTGGAACAGCTTCTGTAAAACTGTGACTGTCCCTGGAGAACAGAGACACTTGAAGGGTCTGCAATGGCTAACCCTCCCAGTGTCACACACCATCAGCTTGTTTTCTCCATCTCCAGAGGTTACGTCTCAAACCCATGGCTTCAAGTTAAAGAAAGGAGATTCTGATTAAACATCGGGGGGGGGGGGGAATTCTCACAGTAAGAGCTGTTCAACAGCTGTGGACTCTCCTTCCTTGGTGGTTTTTAAGCAGAGGTTGGACAGCCATCTGTCATGGATGCTTTCGTTGAGATTCCTGCCTTGCAGGAGGTTGGACTAGATGACCCTTAGGGTCCCTTCCAACTCTACAATTCTACCAGAAGCCATCTGGGTTTCTGATTTGATTCCAGAATGTCCCGCTTTGCCTTAAAACACCCCTATTTTCATTGGAGAAATGTTGGAGGGTATGGAGTAATGCAACCCCCAGGCCGAGGAGATAAGTAACTGTACAATCTTTAGAAGATATCTGGAGGCAGCCTTGTATAGGGAAGTTGTTGATGTTTAATGTTTTATTCTGTTTTTTATACATGTTGGAAGCCGCCCAGAGGAGCTGGGGTAACCCAGTCAGGTGGGTGGATGGATATATAAATAATAAAATTAGTAGTAGTAGTAGTAGTATCATCCTCATCCTCATCATGGAATAAGATGTCCCTATTTTCATCAGGGACACGGGTGGCGCTGTGGGTTAAACCACAGAGTCTAGGACTTGCCGACCTGATCGGCGGTTCGAATCCCCCATGATGGGGTGACCTCCCGTTGCTCAGTCCCTGCTCCTGCCAACCTAGCAGTTCGAAAGCACATTAAAGTGCAAGTAGATAAATAGGTACCGCTCCAGAGGGAAGGTAAATGGCGTTTCCGTGCACTGCTCTGGTTCGCCAGAAGCGGCTTAGTCATACTGGCCACATGACCCAGAAGCTGTACGCTGGCTCCCTCGGCCAATAAAGCGAGATGAGCACCGCAACCCCAGAGTCGGTTATGACTGGACCTAATGGTCAGGGGTCCCTTTACCTTTAACTATTTTCATCAGAGAAATGTTGGAAGGTCTGGCGTCTGCTCTGCGTGCAGAAACTCCCAGGTTCAGTTCCCAACACCTCCACATAGGACTGGGAATATCTCCTTCCTGCAACCCTGGAGAGTTGCTACCAGTCAGCGCAGACAACACTGAGTTAGATGGAGCAGTGGTCTGACTCAGTAGAAAGCAGATTCCTAGGCTCCTAGGTTTCAGCACAAAACTAGTCCAAAGTGCTACAAAGAGTGAGAGAGTTTCAGGGCCGTTCACCTTGCTATTTTGAGATGGGGACTTTTATTAGATTGGATTGTAGTTAGATTGGATTGTAGATCGAGCGACCTGTGGGCTAAAAATAATTTTCTCCCTGTGAGTGAGTGTGTGCAAAAGAGAGTGAGGGGGGTATTTCTGTTTTTAATCTCTTCTCCACGGAACAGAGAAGTGCTACAGTTCCTCCACAAAGCCCTCCTCTCCCAAGATGATATATGTTGTGCTGAATAAATGCAAGCCAAAGGCAACCATCGCAAACGAAGGAGCAAACTCTTCCTGACAAGTGACAATACGAGGTCCTCAGGCTCCCACTTATTATCACAAAGCCCAGCAGATTTAGGAGCTGTGCCTCTCGAATGCAGCTCTCCAGTAATCCCACTGACTCGATTGGCGAGCTTCTCTCCTTCATCACTTTCTTCATTGCAATCCACCGGAAGCGACAGCCCAGAAGGATCCTCTGCTTACTCACCTACCAAGTGTGGTTCAGCTTCTTGTCACCTAGTGTTAGCTCAGCCAAGGAAGAGATCTTTTCTCAGGGCTTCTGCTCACAAGCAACACAGCTCCATGCTTTTATTTTTGCCATCCTCTTAGAGTTGCTTTTTTTTCCCCAATGGAAAGGAACACTCCATCAGTGGGTCGAGGAAATGTGGAGAAGCAGCCAGCAGAGAATGGAATCAAGGACTAGTTTTGAATTAACAGAGATTTAGTAGAGAATTAATGAAAACAAGTAAGCAGTGGAAGACAGGAGTACCTGGCATGCTCTGGTACATGGGGTCACAAAGAGTCGGACATGACTAAACGACTAAACAACAACAACAAAGCATCCAAAAGGGGAAATGTTGTAGTACTGGTTGACTGTTCCAGTCAGTGCAAAGAAATGACATTTCCAGATACCCTAAATGACTGTGCGCTAGAACAGTTGGCCATAGAGCTGATATGGGGTAGGTGGGAAGCAGGTGGCCCTGTGGTCTAAACCACTGAGCCTCTTGGGCTTGCTGATCGCAAGGTTGGCAGTTCGAATCCCCGCAATGGGGTGAGCTCCCGCTGCTCTGTCCCAGCTCCTGCCAACCTAGTAATTCGAAAGCACTTCAGAGTGCTAGTAGATAAATAGGTACCACTCCGGTGGGAAGGTAAACGGTGTTTCTGTGCACTCTGGTTTCCATCACTGTGTTCTGTTGTGCCAGAAGCAGTTTAGTCATGCTGGCCACATGACCCGGAAAGCTGTCTGTGGACAAACGCCTGCTCCCTCAGCCTGAAAGCACCACAACCCCATAGTCGCCTTTGACTGGACTTAACCATCCAGGGGTCCTTTGCCTTTTACCTTTACCTAGGGGTGGGTAATATATTGATATATCAGCCAAAACCAGTTTGAAGTCCATATTGTGATATCAGTAACAAAAATTTTGACCTGGCAATATATTGCAAATCATGATGTGTATGTGGGGAAATGTGGGGAAAACCACAAAGCCAGCCAATGCTTCTCTTGATTCCTGCAGCCCCCATTAACTCTGCCAGCTCAGCTCTTCCCTGCCTCCTACAGGGGGCAGAGAATCACAAAAGCAGGCACCGGCAAAAAATCACAACACAGGAAAAACCATGAAGCCAGCCAATGCCTCTACATAGCTCCATCCTTATTTCAGACATTGTGATATACTGGTATATCATGATGTTTAGCTGGTGATCTGTATCATGATGTCAGAAACCAGATATCAACCAGTCCTCGAGCTGACCAGCAGAAGGGCAGCCCAGGACCTGATGTGAGATTTCTGTTCTTGAACCAGTTGGGAGTAGTGGCCGGAGTGTTATTAGATTAAATATACATGTAACTGGCCAATAGCCAAGAAAATCTGACACTGTCACATTTGTTCCCTAAATTAATCCATAGCTGTATGTTAGTTTCAATGATACACTTTTTTAAAGAACGGACACTTCAGTAAATGCATCTTAGTACAGATTACCTGGCCGGAGAACAGCAATGCAAAATTTGGAGAAGTGCAAAATTCAAAGGATGGCTGAATTTGAAGGATGGTTTTTGCATTGCTTCGGAACATGTGAATGAGATAGGTTCGACTTTAAATGCAAACTGCACTGAACTCCCCCACCATTCTTGTCTGTAATGCTCACCATTATGTCACCCCAGCAAGTCCTCCTAGCAGCTCCACATTGAGCTTTAAATAGCCTCTGATTACTAACAAACAAGGCTGTTCTGCTCTCCTCTCTGAGCTCGATTTCTCCTTGATGGGAAAGGAGGGACATTCTGTTTGGTGTTGGCAAAACCACCATTGACACTTAATATCGGGATCCTTCTTTGTTTATTTTTTGTCCTTTCTTCAAGATTGTCTCCCCCCACCCACCCTACAAACACATCCACACTTAATTCCTCCTGCTTATCTGCCAAATGTTTTGGAATGCCTCATCCATTCCTGCAATGGAATATGTTTCAAAGACTCCTTGGTTACCAAATCCAATCAGAGTTTGTAGCACCTAATGCCAGACTCTCCAAGTCTTTAATCATTCGGCATTGTTCTTTTCTCCTCTAGCCTTTCTCATCAAACTCTCCACATTAAAGTTGTCATCTGCTAGGTTTTGCTGTTGCTAAAAACAAAAAGGCAGGTTTGAGGCAGTAGAACAAACATGACTCAAAAAGGGGAGCAACCAAACATGCCTTTTAAAGATTTTCTAGCTCTAGTCTCTAAGCTGGGAAAGAAGAACACAGGAATCTGCCTTACACTGAGTCAGACCATTGATCTATCCAGCTGAGTAATGTCTGCAGTGATAGGAAGCAGCACCCCAAGATTTCAAGCAAGGAGTCCCTCCCAGACTGACCTGGAAATGCTGGTAAGCGAACCTCGGACCTTCTGCATGCAAAGCAGGTGCTCTTCCTCTGAGCTATAACACTTACGAAGAGGAGGAATGATAGAATTGGAAAGTTAGAAGGGAACACAAGGGGAAAACCCCCGCCAATTCAGGTATCTTTTGCCCATTGTGGGGCTTGAACCCACGACCTTGAGATTAAGAGTCTCATGCTCTATCCCAGAAAAAGGAAGAGCAATGTCACTTCATAAGAACATAAGTGTATAAGAAGAGCCCTGCTGGATCTGACCATTGGCCCGTCTACTCCAGCAGCCTGTTCTCGCACTGGCAGATGGATATAAGAGTGCAATAAGGCAAGGCTAACCAGCAGTTGGAGGGACGCGGATGGCGCTATGGTCTAAACCAATTAATAATAATAATAATAATAATAAATTTTATTTATACCCCGTCCTCCCCAGCCAGAGCTGGGCTCAGGGCGGCTAACACCAATAAAATCACAGTAAAAACATAATAGGGGAAAAAGAAAAGAAGAAAAAAACCAATTTAAAATACAGGTTAAAATGCAATTTAAAATGCAGCCTCATTTTAAAGACCATAAAGGGAGGGAAACATAAGGGTCAGACCGAGCCCAAACCAAAGGCCAGGCAGAACAGCTCTGTCTTGCAGGCCCTGCAGAAAGATGTCAAGTCCCGCAGGGCCCTAGTCTCTTGTGACAGAGTGTTCCACCAAGTCAGGGCCACTACTGAAGAGGCCCTGGCCCTAGTTGCAACCAATCCAACCACCTTGAGACCTGGGACCTCCAAAATGTTGTCATTTGTGAACGTTAAGGTCCTCCACGGGGCATACCAGGAGAGGCGGTCCCATAGGTACATGGGTCCTAGAACCTCTTGGGCTTGCCGATTAGAAGGTTGGTGGTTTGAATCCCTGCAATGGGGTGAGCTCCCGTTGCTCGGTCAAAGCTCCTGCCAACCTAGCAGTTCGAAAGCATGCCAAAAAGTGCAAGTAGATAAATAGGTAGCACTCCGGCAGTAAGGTAAACAGTGTTTCCATGCGCTGCTCTGGTTTCAGTGTTCTGTTGCACCAGAAGCAGCTTACTCATGCTGGCCACATGACCTGGAAAAACTGTCTGTGGACAAACACCAGCTCCCTCGGCCTGTAAAGCGAGATGAGTGCTGCAACCCCAGAGTCATATGCAACTGGACTTAACTGTCAGGGGTCTTTTACCTTCTTTTTTAAACTAGCAGTTGAGGAAGTTTGGACTGGGTATATTTCAGACCCACCTGCAGTTACTTAAGAACATCAGAAGAACTTCAGAAGAACATCCTTCGTGGATTCGTCTAATCCTCTTTTAAAGCCGTCCAAGTTGGTAGCATCACTGCCTCTTGTGAGAGTGAGTTCCATAGTTTAACATGAAGAAGGACTTTCTTCTATCAGTCCCGAGCCTCCCAACTTTTAGCTTCATTGGATCTCCATGAGTTGTTGGTGTTAGCGTTATGAGAGAGGGGAATAAAACTTTTCTCTGCCCTTTTCTATACCTTTCCCCACCCTACAATATCCTTTTGTCGAAGAAGTGGCTAGAATTCACTAAAATGTTGAGTTTCCCCGTGAAGTTTACCTACTAATGTAAAGGTAAAAAGGTAAAGGACCCCTGGACGGTTAAGTCCAGTCAAAGGCGACTATGGGGTGTGGCACTCATCTTGCTTTCAGGCCAAGGGAGCCGGTGTTTGTCCATAGACAGCTTTCCGGGTCATGGGGCTAGCATGACTAAACCGCTTCTGGCACAACAGGACACTGTGACGTAAGCCAGAGCACATGGAAATGCCGTTTATCTTCCTGCTGCAGTGGTACCTATTTATCTACTTGCACTGGCATGCTTTCGAACTACTAGGTTGGCAGGAGCTAGGACAGAGCAATGGGAGCTCACCGCGCCGCGGGGATTCGAACCGCCGACCTTGTGATCAGCAAACCCAAGAGGCTTGATGGTTTAGACCCTACTAATGTACCTTCCTGTCTACCAGAAGAACTGCCTACTTCTGCATGAACCTGCTCACACACTGCAGTCAGCATCTGAGCCCCTGCTCTGTGCTTTGTTTTGGCACAGACTTTTCATCAGTGGAAGCCAGAACCTCCTGAAAGAGGTCCAGTTGGCTTTCTCTCCGCTGAGTTTTAAGATTTACTTATTTAATTAATTCTGCCATGTTTTTAATTATCTCTTTTAACCCTCTGCTGTGGTGGTGAATGTTAAAACTCGCCCAGTTGTTTTATGATCTTCTGTGTGTTGCTGTTTTAATGATTTGAATAGATTTACGGTGTTTGTTTTTAATCTATTTTTATGGTCTCCAAGCTGCCTTGGGTGTCCTTTTGGGGTCCTAATGGCAGGGTAGCTATTGCCTTGCATAAAGGAATGAATGAATAATAAAAAAGAGCAATGCTTCTTTACAATTTGCACCAAAATCCCACTGAACCTTCCCCTACAGAAAGCAAATTCATTATTCTTTTCACCTGATCTATAAGCTACAGTCGAAGCTAACAAAAATCCCCATCTTGGAAGAATGAGGTAAAAGTAAAGGGACCCCTGACCATTAGGTCCAGTCGTGACCGACTCTGGGGTTGCGGCACTCATCTCGCTCTATAGGCCGAGGGAGCCGGCGTTTGTCTGCAGACAGCTTCCGGGTCATGTGGCCAGCATGACTAAGCCGCTTCTGGTGAACCAGAGCAGCACACAGAAATGCCGTTTACCTTCCCACCGGAGTGGTACCTATTTATCTACTTGCACTTTGATGTGCTTTCGAACTGCTAGGTTGGCAGGAGCTGGGACCAAGCAACGGGGGCTCACCCCGTCACGGGGATTCAAACTGCCAACCTTCTGATTGGCAAGTCCTAGGCTCTGTGGTTTAACCCACAGCGCCACCCGCATCCCTTTTTTGGAAGAATAAGGTAAACTTAATACTTTGAACAAATTCTGTACTGAAACCTAGGAAAAGTGGAACCAACCTCGTGATACCATTGGGGTATTTCACTTAGTATTGTCAATTGGCTCTCCAGGGGTTACAAACAGGAGTCGTTCCCTCACTCCCAAAATACTGTACATGGAGGTGACAGGGACTGAATCTGAGATCTTCCTCAAGCAAGACAGCTGCTATGGCTCCAACTACTGAGCTATGGTTTGACAGGTTGTTTTTCTTGACCTACTCCCCCTCTGTCTGGAATTCAGGATTCCTGGAGCAACCAAATGCATCTCTTTGGATGGCAGCTCAAAACTTATCAGTCTCAGTCTATCCATTTTTATTATTGATCAGGGGGAGAGAAGGAAAAGCTCGCTTCTTTATGGATGTGTTGTAAGGATTAAGAGCATAGGAAGACCCTGCTGGGTCAAGTCAAGGGCTCATCTAGTCCATCATCCTGTTCTCACAGAGGCCAACTAGATGTAGGAAACCCACAAGAAGGATTCAAGTACAACAGCACTCTCCTCTCCTGTTGCTTCCAGCAACAGGTTTTCAAAAGCACTACTGCCTGCAACTGTGGTGGAGCATAGCCATTATGGCTAGCAGCCATTGATAGCCCTCTCCTCCATGAATTTGTCTAATCCTCTTTCAAAGCCCTCTAGGTTGGTGGTCATCACTGCCTCCCAAAGGAATGAGTTACATAGCTCAACAATGCACTTTGTGAAGCAGTCAAGGGACGCAGGTGGTGCTGTGGTCTAAGCCACCAAGCTTCTTGGGCTTGCCGATTGTAAGGTTGGCAGTTTGAATCTGTGCAACGGGGTGAGCTCCTGCCAACCTAGCAGTTCGAAAGCACGCCAGTGCAAGTAGATAAATAGGTACTGCTGCAGCGGGAAGGTAAACGGCATTTCCATGCGCTCTGGTTTCCATCACGGTGTACCATTGTGCCAGAAGCAGTTTATTCATGCTGGCAAAGGAAGAGGAGTGTGGGGGGAGCGCACCGCCCCCGGCAGCGCGATCCTGGTGGGGTGCCATCACGGTTGCTTTCCCAACAGCACTGGGCGCCACGCCCCCTGTAGGCAGTGCACTATGCCCCCGGGATGTGCGCCAGCCCCGCCCCACCTGCTCTCCACCCCCCAGTGCCGGAGCATGAAGCTCTGCCACTGGCTGGCCACATGACCTGGAAAGTTGTCCACAGACAAACGCCGGCTCCCTCGGCATGAAAGTGGCTGAATTTGACTGAACCTTCCAGGGGTCCTTTACCTTTACCTTGTGAAGAAGTACTGTACGTTTTTGTCCTGGTAAAAAAAAAGGTAAGAAAATATATGTGGGGGGGACACAGTGAAAAATCTGAAGTGCTCAAATGCAGATGTGTAGTTCCAAGTAGATCCCAGAATGACCAGCCAACCTTCTTTGATTCAGCTGGACACTTTGAAGCATAGACCTGGAATACAGAGAGGTGGGAAATAATTCATGATGCTGAATGACCTCTGGGAGAAGAAAGAGGAAATGCCGTGGCACAACCGGACTCCTTCATCTGCCCCAGATGCAACAAAACATATCGCTCCTGTATCAGTCTCTAAAGCCACAGCAAGAGCTGTAACTCTCCAATGTTTGACTTCACTCCTGAAAGCACACTCTTCCATTGCCTCAAACAGAATGCCAACCAATTCCTGACGTAACTGATTCTCAGAAATCACAGGGACAAAGGACAAGTGGTTAAATCATGCCCGTGTTATTTTAAAACATAACATACAGAAAAGTATTTTCTTAAACACCTTTTTTTTCCAAGCAAGGCCTTATGTAAACACAATGATTAAGATAAAATAAATTATAGGCTTAACCCTGGAGACAGTCACACTGCTCTTTGATGCAGACTGCCTCTGCTCCCCCTCCATTGCTCCTTTCCCCACTCAAAAGCACTTGATGTCCCCACTTGTCACTTTAATTATTGGGGTAATCCAATGGATAAGGGGGACTTGCTCCACAACTCCCACTGACTAAATGCTCGCTTGAGGAAATGCAGCTGTGAAAAAAATGCCGCAGTTCATCAGAGCCAAAGATAATAATCTCCTTGCTGCCTCCCCTTGCTCTCTTTCAACAACTTTTTCTGCCAGGCTTCTGGAAACGCGACTTACTGTTTCCATTCCTGGAAGCAGCGACTTTGGCGAGGGTTAAAGGTGCAGATAGACATGATGCACATTCAGGCAGAGGGAATAGGTTTTTTTACATAATTTTATTTCATTTTCAACATTTAAGTATTTTCTTCTTCTTATGTATATCTCTGATGGAGAA